TAAGTTCTAATTTGAAATATCCCAATCGTCCTGTCTGATTAATAGATGCAGTAGACTAAACTAAATTTGTTTTTTAACTCCTGAAATATAGGTAAGGCCATTTAATTTTCCAGTGTTCAATACTGTGGCTATAGATTAGAAGACCTCGACACAAAGCAAGTAGCTGAGTTCAGGCTACCTGACACTTCTCCTCACTGGTCCCGAACCCACCTGGTGTGTGCTGAGATTGCAGAGCACGACATCCCCAGAGGCGGTGGCCACACACACGGACTCCTGATCCAGCAAGCCCTGCATACCCACAATGCAGCCGCTTCCATCCTCTGGGAGAAAACCCTCTGCCACCAGAAGAACTTCAGTCTTCACCTTTCCCAAAACAGACATGGAAGCAAATTAGTGCTTACAGTCAGGAGCCAGCAGATTTCCAGAAATAATGTTTCTAAGAACTCTTTTTACATATGAGATATATTTATTTTTAGCTTATGTGTATGAGTGTTTTGCCTGAATGGACTTAGGTGCACCATGTGTACAGCTGGCGCCCTCGGAGGCCAATAGAGAGTGTGGGATTCCCTGGAATTGGAGTTATAGATGTAAGTTATAGATGTAAGCTGCCAGATGGGTGCTGGGAACCAAACTGGGGTCCTCTTTAAGAGTAGCCAGAGCTGGGCAGTGGTGGCACACACCTTTAATCCCAGCACAGAGGCAGAGCCAGGCGGATCTCTGTGAATTCGAGGCCAGCCTGGTCTACAAGGTGAGTTCCACGAAAGGCTCCAAAGCTACACAGAGAAACCCTGTCTCAAAAAACCAAAAACCCAAACAAAACAAAACAAAAAAAAAAGAGTAGCCAGTACTCTGGACCGCTGAACCACCTCTCCAGTCCCTAATGATTCTTTTATAACATAAAAGCTTTCCAAGTATTTTCCCTAGATTAAAACTCACTTTCATTTCAGAAAAAATACAATTCTATTATCTTTAACAAGAATAGCTGGGCTGGAGAGATGGCTCAGAGATTAAGAGCACTAGCTGTTCTTCCAGAGGTCCTGAGTTCAATTCCCAGCAACCACATGGTGGCTCACAACCATTTGTAATGAGATCTGGTGCCCTCTTCCTGCAGGCATACATGCAGGCAGAACACTGTATACATAATAAATAAATATATCTTTAAAAAAAAAAGAATAGCTAATGTAACCTTTTTTGCAAAAACAAGTATGGTCTGTTTAAAAATATCCAATAAAAAATAAAGGTAATAACTATGTTCTTTATTCACATTTGTTTTTCAATGGGGAGATCACATCCAGGGCCTCAACCATTGGGCTACAAGCCCAGCCTCCTAAATGCGGTTTCCTAAGAGTTCTATAATGTGGGCAAAGACAATAAATCACCTAAATAAAACACATGAGTAGCAACAAATAATCAAAGGAACATATCGGAATCAACTTACAATTTCCAGAAATATCCATGGTCAGTTCTAGCACTAAGGACTGGGATTTTAGTCAGTTTGGGTTAGAAGCCTAAACATGTTTAAAAAACTCTACAAGTCTGGGGTGGGGAGTTTCAAATGACATAAAAGCTCCATGGACAATATTCATGTACATTCCTAACTGATCACTATTATACTGCAAATTCACAGTAGGCAGGGTAAAATGTGAGTAGGCATCCACATAAAATATCAGGTCAAAGCTTTGCCAACTTACCTTACAAAATTAGCAGAGTTAAGAGTTGGCTACTACTAAGTTCTACCTGGTAAACCATCTACAAACAGCAAAGAGGACGACCACGTAGGAATCGGTAAATTACTCTGGTTGCAGAGGGTACTAGCAGGGAGAAGGAGGTTTGGAAGAAAACAAGCCCAGGGCCAGGCCGGGAGCTGCCATCATCATCAGGGACTTACTTCTCTTTTCCCGGGATCTACTTCAATCAGTCCACGTTCTGAGCCAATTAGCACTGTCCCCCGTTCAGTTCGGAGAGAGAAACAATAAGGTTTCCCTGGTGCTTGAATGTCCCTAAATTCCAGTGTCCGGAGCAACTTCAGATTTCTCATGATGAAGCAACTTCTGAGGAAAAACAAACCCCCCTTGATGAAACATGAATGCCTGAAAGAGAAAGGACTACCTTAACAATGATAAATGGCCACACACATAGCAAGCATGATTCAGGGAGTAGAGACGTGGTCATTAGAACAGGAGTCCTATTTATCTGAACACACCAGCATATACACAATCACTCTCTTACTTCCTAAAGGTTCCAGCTTTACACAGTGCTAGAGTGGAGATGAAATTACACGTTAAGGCTGGAAACATAATCAAATGATAACACAGCACAGGCTATTACTGCTGCCATGATCCAGTCACCATATTCCACATTCCTCTCCATGAACTTGGATTCTAGTCATCAAAATCTGTGCTGCTCTGCATCCATAGAATCCAGGAAATAAATGATAGAGAGTAATAGCAAATTAAGAGAACTCACTTCTTCCCATTATCCATCTGTAACTATGACTACCATCCGAGCAATGGGCCTTTACCTTTACAGGGACCCTGGGTACCAATCTCTGGTACTGCCAAAGCCAGCTTCATCATACCACCAGAGGCACGAGCATTAATCAAGCATGCTACATCTCCAGACACAGAAATCCAGCCCCAGGCCTCATCCTGAGTTTCTGAGTATCGATCTAAAGTCTGATTACTAGTGTTACAGGGATTTTCTACAAATGTTAGGTCTTGATGATGCCAACATCTGGCAAGTGTTGATCCCTACCCACAGGGGTTGCTTCCTTCAGCATGCCTTCTAAATTACTTGAGCGTTTCCTTCACTTTTTCTTCCCCAATAGCTGTTTAATTCTTCACAATAAATCCTGCTGAAATACTGTGTGGCCTCTACTTTTCTGACTGGACCCCTACTGATGAACACAGTAAAACAATTTGAGTCTTTAAAAAGCACTGGGTTCAGGTGCTGTATGATATTTTGTTTGTGTTCTGACAAAGCTTGCCTGGAGATCAAAGGGCAGAGCTAGCCACTAGTTAACCATAGAGGCCAACCATGGTGGTACACACCTTTAATCCCAGCACTTGGGAGAAGACCAGAGTTCAAGGCCACCCTGGGCCATACAAAATTGAACCAGTCTGAAAGAGAAACAGAGCTGGGCCGTGGTGGCTCACAACTTTGATCCTAGCACTTGGGAGGCTCGGCTCACGCCTTTAATCCCAGCACAATCAGGAGGTGGAGACAGGATCTCAACAGCCCACTCCCACCCCCAATTCAGTCTGAGATTTCGTACAGGTAAGAAGTCTCTAGTGGCTGCTGCTCTGCTTCTCTGATCTTCCAGCTTTCATCCGGATATCTGACTCCAGGTTTTTATTGTTAAGACTAATTAGGATTGCGCTATATTCAGGTCTGGAAAGATGGCTCAGAGGTTAATGAGTACTGGCTGCTTTTCTAGAGGACCTGAATTAAATTCCCAGTACCTACACAGTAACTAACACTCATCTATAACTCCAGTTCCAGGGGATCCCATGCCCTCTTCTGGCCTCCAGGGGCACTTCATGCACATGGTACAAGGCAAGCCCATTAATCTCCCTAATGCCCCAATCCTTTTAGCATCAAAACTGACTTCTCTGAATTGACATACCCATACACCCCACTCCTTTGACTTCTCAAAGGAACACAGCCCTGTACTTTCCTCAGTGCTTTCAAAGTTAGGAAAAGAGTATCTTCCAAACACTTCTAAGATCATAACCTGTTAATATCCTTCCTTTGGCACCTCCAACTCCAACTCCCCTGGCTCCATGAATTCACCCTCTCCCCATCCACATATGTGCTAACGGTCCTATCATACAACTCTGATCATGTCCTAATATTCTGACTGTTGTTCCATTTTCTCCCCTTGCTCTTCTTCTATCCACCTTCAGGCTAATCATTCTCAACGGGACACACACTAGAAGGATAAGAGGAAGATTATATATACCTAGTTGCAACTGAACAAGTCCAAACTGAGCATTAAATTCAATGTCTCCTAATGTTATCATTAGCTGGCCCTTACAAGCACATGCAACGCAACCTGAAAAACAGAGAATCCGCTACTCTTTAACCAAATAACCGCCTCACCTTGGTTTCCACAAGCTAAAACTGTCTGCCTCTTTCTCATTCACTTTCACACTGAGGTATTCACTGATTGTCTTCGCGGCTCTCAATATACAAACGAATCCTTCACACAATACCTACGATCCGTTATGTGACATACATCAAAATTTGCCAAATGTTAGGCCCTGAAGACAAAAGACCACACAATTACTGTCACCATAGAAATCACGCCAGCTAAGGAAGCACGGGATACACTACTCCACAGAATAGTGTCAGATGACAAAGGGGACCCGTAGCACAGCACTGAAGCCTCCATTACCTATCACCTTCCACGGCGAGCTAACCAATTCCTGATAGAGGTTTTATCCACACGCTGCAAGGAATCCCGCAGCTGGAGGACCCGACCCTCATCCCCGGCAGCCTCGGGGAATAAGTGTGCACAAAGCATCCGCCGCCCAGTCGGCGCGCACACGCACAAGCGCGTGGATCTCTCTCCCCTTGCACTAGGATAGCCCCTGGACGAGCAGGACCAGGCCGCGCGCAGCGGCTCCGACTGGCTCCGGTGAACGCTCACCCGAGACGCCCTCCCGAGACTGCGCCCTCGCCTCTGCCCGCGGCTCCGAGCCCTCACGACGCACTAGGTCTGGGAGGGAACCGCCACCGCACACGGGAGAAAAAGACACGCACCACAAAGGGGCGAAACCCGCGAGCTAGCACGACGATCGAAGCGGCGCGAACGCGGCGTCACCAGCCAGGCGCGCTGGCTTGACGTCACCACGTAGGCGTGGCCGAGCGCGCCTCTCCTGGAGCTCGCGGCAGTGCAGACGCAGTCCGGCCGTGCTGTCTGTAGTTCCTCTGGCTCCGGTGGTATTTGTCCCGCTGTTGGGCGTGGGTCCCGGAGCGCCGGGGACTGGTGGGGCGGGGGTGGGGGTAGGGGTGGGGTGAGATCGGCGAGCTGCGCGCGTGCGCACAAGCTACCACGCGGGAAGTCCATCCCTCTGGCCTGGACCCTCAGCATGGAAGAGATCGGATGCCCAGAGGCAGGGCTGGCGGGGCCAGAGGTAGCCGTGGCTACTGAACCCGCGGTGCCCTCCCTGGTGGATCGATACTTCACTCGCTGGTATAAAGCGGGTAAGTGCCGAATGATGGTGAGCTCTGCCCTACCGCACAGGCGGGATGCCGCGGGGACTCCTGCTTCGCGACGGAAGCCACCCGGGCCCTTCCCTGAGCTTCCTAGTACCAGGAATACAGGTTTGCACTGTTGGAGAACTGAAGGAGGCGCATCTGACGTGGGAAGCTCAGTGCAACGTGTGGGTTGCTCGCAGGAGAGGACGTAAACTAAACTAAGGAACCCCGCGTTGGTCTGTCTGGGCTTACACTGCCTAGTGATTGTGTGCCTGTGGGGATCAATCCTAGCCCGAGGCGGGAAGAAACCGTGCTCTGGAGAGAGCATTAAGAGAAGTTAAGGAAGGAGTATCTAGTGTTTTGTTAAGAAACCGCTCATATTGTCCACTTCGAAGTTTCGAAGTAGGCTTCCCAGGTGTTCTGTTTTGTGTGCCCAGGAAATATCGTTGCCACCTTTGGGAATTAACTTACCACTACTAGCCATTTTAATTCAGGGAAACTGGTGGACGCACACACGAACAGATATGGGCCAAATTTAGGACAAGCAACTCTCCTCAGGACTGAATTTTCCCAAAATGTGATTTTTGCATAACTCTAAGACAGCCCTTGGGGCTGGAGAGATGACTCAGCGGTTAAGAGCATTGACTGTTCTTCCAGAGGACCTGGGTTCAATTCCCAGCACCCACATGACAGCTTCCAACTGCTTGTAACTCCAGTTCCAGGGGAAATCCGATACCCTCACATAGACATACATGCAGGTAAAACACCAATGCACATAAAATAAAAATAAATCATTTTTAAGAAAAGGTGGCCCCATAAAACAACACCATAATGTAAGCAATGTGGTGCATATAATAGTGTTTCTCTAATAGAAATAATGGGTATACTCACTCATTTTAAAGTGACAAGTTGGAGGCGTTAATAACCTTACCTGCCTTAACACTGAATGAATGATTCTATCTGGATTAGGCCACTTAAACACTTCATGGCCTTTTATTTCACCACTGTTGAAAGCATGAACTATCCACAAACCAAAGATGGTAATCCCATGGTAATAGTAAATACCAATTCAAGAACTCATTTATTCCTCCAGATGTTAAAGGAAAACCCTGTGAGGACCACTGTATACTACAACACTCCAACCGGTAAGCATATCAGGAATTGTAAATTATCAACACCTTTCTCTGGTAGTTGGCCTGATGTAGTCTTGAGGTGGATATGAGCATTCATAAAATTGTCTTCTACTGTGTTGAGATGGCATTATAGGAGTGTGGTGGCAGGTACAAGTCTTGTTCAGTCATTTACTGCTTAGCCAACCTGTGCCAACCCCTGAAGTGCCAGAACCTATGGAATGGGTCACTGTGGAGGCATATGCCATGTCCTGTGTATAGTCATGCCTTGTTTCTCTGGTACCCCAGGATTACTTAAAGACTTGTGGTACTGTTCCCTTTCCTGGGAAGGAAATTCAGTCTTATTTTCAACTCTTCCGTTACTGCACTCCCCATGCTACACTTAGGCTCCAGCCAAGAGAGATGAAGACGGGACAGAAGGAAGTTTAGCTAGTCACTTCTCTATAGGAATACTGATACAGGAGGAGGTGTCCAGCCACGCAGTAACATAGGATTGACTGTTTTCTCCTCGTAGAATATGTGTCATCACACTGGCAGGATCCCATCCCGTTCTTCAGAGTGGCAAAACTATTCAAAGTATTTCCTATCAGATCAGTACCAACTGCAGCAGGCTTCAGAACAAAGTCTCTGGGAAATTTAAGCGGGTATGTTCCTGGAATTCTGTGATTTTTCTTTCTTCCTACTGAAATGTTCTATATTCATGTTATAATGGATCCAGTTAGCCTCATGTTATAATGGATCCAGTTAGCCGTGAGCAGACTTTCTGGCAGTTCAGTGTGATTATTTTCAGTAAAAACAACACCTACCCCCACTCAAAAACAAAGGAATATCAGGAGGTATACTGTCTGCCATAGGAGATTCTGTGCTTGCATTCTTATCCCCAAAGACATGAGATGGAAGATGGGCCTTTACTGGTATCCCAGCTCTTGGGTAGCTGAGGTAGCACAATTGGAAGGAAGTATGAGGCTGTATAGTGCTGTATAGTAAGTACCAGGCTAGACAAGGCCACATACCAAAACTCTGGAAAGTCAAAAAGAATCGTGGCTCCAACTGCCTGTGTTCACTGTAGAAGTTTGTAAAAAAGAGGGCAGTGCATGAAACACTCATTTGCCTGCTTATAGAGATTTGTCAAACAGCCCCTGATTCACCCACCTCCCAGAGTTTCTGAAACAATGACCACATATGCTGTCAAGTAGTTCATTAAATGTGGCACTAATATTTAAAAGTCACGTACTTCAGTTAGTTTTGTGGGGTTTATTTAAACATAATTGTTTTTATTTTTATGTGGACGTATGTATGACGTGTGCAGGAGCCTGCAGAGTTGAGGGGAGCTTGGCAGATCCCCTAGACTTGAAGGTACAGGTACTTGTGAGCCACCATGTGGTGCTGGGAATTGAACCTGGGTCCTTTTCAAGGGCAGTAAATAGTCTAACTTTTGAGTTATCTCCCCCAGCCCACTAGTTTTATCTTTTAGTTAGAAATGTACTCCTTCTTCAAAAAGTCTTAGACATTGACCCTGTAAAGAAGTTCCTTTACCTATTAATTTCTAATATAAAAGATAGGGATCTTTTGGATATCTTTAGTTCTTTGTTTTTGTTTTGAGACTGGGTCTCACTCTGTAACCCTGACTAACCTGGAATTCGATATATAGACTAGGCTGGCCTCAAACCAGAGATTCACTTAACTCTGTCTTCTGAGCACAAAGATCAAAGGTATATACCACCACATCCCACAGAAGACAGGGATCTTAATGAAACTAACTATGTAGGATATCGCTGCCATATCATATTGAATTGTATATTGCTTGCAGTGGATTATCCTATAGGTTGAAATCTTTATACCTGGCCATATATAGATTTCTCATTTGTAATTGAAAAAAATACATTATTAGACTGTAACTAAACTACTCATTAAAAGATGGTACCTAGGACATAGTAGGTTGTTATGTTGAAGTCCATGAGTAGTTTTATGTACTTATATCATTTTCCTGTAAGACACCAGAGTTCCAAGACTAGAATCCTGTTTTAATAGTGAGGGGTATATCAGTGGAAATGGAAATTCACAGTGGAAATGGAAATTCACAATTAATTTGTTGCTTTCCTCTCGTTACCCAGGGGGCACAGTTTCTAACAGAGCTCGCCCCTCTGTGTAAGATATACTGCTCCGATGGAGAAGAATATACCATATCTAGGTAAGCAGTGTTTTAGCCACCGAAACTCAAATGCCTGTGTTCACTATAGTAAAAATTACTGACAACATTTTTTGTCCTAAAATTCTTTTTCAAAAATAGCTGTGTTAGAGGTCGACTGATGGAAGTGAATGAGAATATTCTTCACCAGCCATCTCTTCTTCAAGAGAAGGTAAAGGAGAGGTGGGGAAAGCAAGCCCTGTCCACATGCCTCTGAGATCATTTCACAGTCCTACGTGCTGTTTCCCCAGCCATCCACCGAAGGCTACATTGCAGTTGTGTTACCCAAATTTGAGGAAAGTAAAAGTGTAACAGAAGGGCTGCTGACTCAGCAGCAGTATGAGGAGGTCGTGGTGAAGCGGAATAATGCCACAGCCACATCATGAGCCTTGAGACGGAGGGACAGCATCGGAGTCTCACCCTGCCTGGCCTCAACCCTCACTGCACTGAAGAAAGCCAGTGAATGGGAAGCATTCCTCACACGGCCACAGGAGAAGCGTCGTTCTTCACCCCACCTAAGTCCCCTCCTTTGTCTGAACGTCACAAGCCTTGACTCCCCCTTTGTAGTCAAGCTCTCCGATCTGCCCTACCTAGGTACCGTTAGGTTGGGACGTGCAGTTGTGGGTGTTCGCCTGCATATGTACATCAGAAAACAACTTTGAATGCTTTTTTACCTTGTGTTAGACAGTCTCTCATTGACTTGGAACTTTGCCAGACAGCTCATGAGCTTCCAGGGAGACACCCATCACCTCTGCCTCCCATCTTGCAAGGCCAGTATTACAAATGCACACACCATAGCCAACTTTTATATGAGCCAGAAAATCCAAACTCAGGTCCTTATGCGTTCAAGGTGTATTACTCTTCAGTTGCTGTGATAAAATACCATAACCAAAAGCAACTTCCCCAAGAGTTTATATGGGTTTATAGTTCCACAGGATTAGATGCCCATCCTAGCGAGAAGGCATGGTAGCAAGAACAGGAAGCTGAGATCACATCTCCACCATACACAAAAAGCAGAGTAAGCCCGAAGTAGGGTGAGGTTATTAACTGCCCCGGTGATGTAATTCTCCCAGCAAGACTTCTTTTCCTAAAAGTTCCACCGACTGGGGACCAACTGTTCAAATACATAAGTCTATGGGGTTATTTTTTATCACTCTTCCACATTCTTCCCATGATGCCTTTATACCCATATTGGGCTGGAGAGCTTCTCTCCAGATCCTACCAAGCCCCGGCAGTCCAACAGCCCACTTATAAAATAAACACATAGATGCTTATATTATTTACAAACTGTATGGCCGTGGCATGTTTCTTCCTAACTGTTCTTATATCTTAAATTAATCCATTTCCATAAATCTGTGGCTTACCGGCATCTTCACATGCTGCTTGTCATGGTGGCGGCTGGCAGTGTCTCTCCCACTCAGCCTTCCACTTCCCAGAATTCTCCTCTCTCCTTGTCCCACCTATACTTCCTGCCTGGCCACTGGCCAATCTGTGTTTTATTTATATAGAATGATATCCACAGCACCTATAGCCATGTAGTACAAAATGCAGTTAATCCAATATCAAAAGTTCCCATAGTTGTTACTGTTCTGAAGTCCAAAGTCTCTTCTAAGACTCGGTGCAGTCTCGTGTCCCACTGTAAATCAAGAGACCAGTTACACACTTCCAACGCACAGTGGCACAGAACACACATTCCCACTCCAAAAGGAAGGAATGATGGGCATAGTGAGGAGATACCGCACAAAGGAAGACAAAAGCCAGTGTGAGACACCAAACCCTGCAGCAGCATGCCCACTCTCTTAGGTTTGGTTTCAGAGGGATTAGTTGGCTGCCCTCCAGCACTGCTGCCTGCAACACAGGAATTTGTCTGCAGTGTTCTGCTCTGTGCAGCTCTCCCTGGCACATGTCTCATAGCTTTGGGATTTCCAGTGTCTTGGGGCCTGCACTATAACCCAGGTTTCACCATCACAGCTACACTCAATGGCCTCCCTCTCATGGCCTTCTTGCAGAAACTCCATCTCTACCACATGTTGCCTGGCCTCGGGCTTTCTGAAGCCAAGAAGGAAGAATCCAGCATCCTTTCTTTCTTTTTTTTTTTTTTTTTTGGTTTGAGACAAGAATTCTCTGTGTAGCTTTGGAGCCTGTCCTGGATCTCACTGTGTAGACCAGGCGAGAACTCAGAGATCTGCCTGGCTCTGCCTCCCGAGTGCTGGGACTACAGGCATGCGCCACCACAGCCTGGCTCCTTTAATTCTTTTATGCCTTCATGCTCGTACCATGTGGAAAATACTTCAAAATTAGACTACCAGCTTTCATCTCCTTTGATCGCATCCACAGTGGCTCTTGTAGTTTGTTGCTTTCTAGGAGCAAACATCCAGGATCTCAGGTGGTCTTTCACAGATTGGAAGTTTATCTGGGTGGAATCTTGCCTTGGCCAGCTGTCCCATTGTTCCAGTGTAGAGCAGCCTTTTTTTTTTTTTTAATTTTATTTATGGATTTTTTTTTTTTTTTTTTTTTTTTTTGTATGAGTGCTCTGTCTGGATGTATGCCTGAATGTCAGAAGAGGGCATCAGATCCCATTATAGATGGTTGTGAGCCACCATGTGGCTGCTAGAATTGAACTCGGGACCTTTGAAAGAGCAGACCATGCTCTTAACCACCTAGCCATCTCTCCAGCCCTAGAGCACACTTCTCAATAGCACTAATCTCTAGTAATGACAGCCTTTCCCAGCAAAAAGTTACATTATCTTGAAATACCTAATGCTAGAGAAAGTAGTCCATTACTTTTTAATTCAGCTTCATGTCAGTTCTCAGGACTTGGGTAGAAAGTAGCCAGATTCTTTGTCAAAGGGTTACATAAATGGCCTCTAGAGACATTGTTTCTCTCCAAAACCTAGGAGCCCAGCTTGTACTGTCTCCATTACCTGCAGCACTATAGGCCTCTAGGTTCAAATCAGGAAGTCTTGTTTCACAATGCTCTCAGCGTTCAACCACTTTTCTGGCCCAGAGTTCCAGTCTTCTAAGTTCTTCCAAAACATGTGGTCACATTTTTTCACAGCAACAACCTCACTTCTTGGTACGAAGGTCTATATTAGTTACCTATCTGTTGCTATGATAAAACACCAAGACCAAAGCAACTTAAGAGGGGTTTTTTGGCTTGTAGTTCCAGGGTGCTAGCTGTCCAGGAGAAGCTGAGATCAGACCCGCACACCCTGGAGGCCCGCAGTGAAGTGGGAGTGGATGGAGGCTGTAAACTCAGAGCCTGCCCCCAGGGACATGCTTCCTCCATTCCGAATGCATGAGACCATGGCGGACATTTCCCATTCAGTCTACAGCGGGAGGCAAGCACTTCCTGACTGAACCATTCTCCCAGCACACTCTCTTCCTCGCATTTCTCTAACAAATAGCAAAGAAGGAATATTTTTCTGATTAAAAAATACAAGCTCTTGAGAAACATTTTGAAGAGTTTTGCATTCCTATTACCTGGGAACAAATAGTGCCTGCTTGAATGCTATGTAGGGCACACTTACTGCTTCTGCCTCAACTTTTTTTTTTTTTTAAGATTTTTTAATGTGTTTTCTTGCATATGTGCATGTGCATTGTATTCATGCAATGCCTGTAGATGCCAAAAGAAGACATCAGACTCCTTGGAATTCCAGATGGTTGTGAGCCACCATGTAGGTGCTGGGAAGTAAACCCAGGACCTCTAGAAGAGCAGCCAGTACTATTAACCTCTAAGCCATCTCTCCAGCCCCTTGCCTTAATTAATTTTTTTAACAATTTAATACTTTGAAAAAACAAAATTAATTGTCCATCCTTCCCAAATCTGCTTCAAAGAGCAATGGGAAAGCCCAGCCTCACCCCCTCTGCTGTGGCTTTTTCCCTCTAGGCTGCTGGAGGGGCATGATTGTGGAGTCTGCCTTCTACTCTACATGGAAAAGCTTGGAAATGTGCAAGGGCTCTTCTAGCAAATGGAAGAATCACGCTGCTGTGCTGAGCTGGCTCCTGCAAACGCATGGCGGTAACTCCCATCTACACATTTTACTGACGGCCGCTTTGTAGTAATGAAGGTCTCACCCAGAGGCACAGATGTCTTAGAGCTGTTGCTGGAGAATTTCTCAACAGCTCCCACCAAGTCCCGCCAGTCCCGGAGCCCACTCATAAAACAAACACACAGACTCTTACATTATTTAAACTGCTTGGCCATTAGCTCAGGCCTATCATTCTTACTCTTACATTTAGCCCATTTCTATTAATCTATACTTGGCCACATGGCTTGTGGCTTATCGGTACCTTACATTTTCCTTGTCCTTGCGGAGGCTCCTCTCCTTTCCTGTTTCCTCTTTTCTCCTCTCTGTTAGTCCCGCCTATACTTCCTGCCTGGCCACTGGCCAATCAGTGTTTATTTATACAGAGCGATATCCACAGCATAGAGCAGAGCAAGGTTTCTATATTATCTAGCTTAGAAAAAAAACAGCTGTGAAGTTCTGGGTTTAGATTAGACATTTACACTGAATTTAAAACAAAAAGATCTTAAATCATGAAATGACTGTCATTTTCCTGATTTTAATGCAATGATTTCAACGTAACCAAACAACCAAGTTTATTGAGAAGAAAGAAGTAGCTCCCTGTAACTAGGAGGGGTTAAAACTGAATTTCCTTTCAATAAAATGGTTTTATACAGATGAAAACCTGACTTGGAAGTCTGTCCTCTCATGCTGTTGACGTCATGTTACCCTGTTGCTTCAACCCCCTGGGCACCGCTAATTCTATTGTCAAGTGTATAAAGGTATTTGTAATTTTCTTACAAATATTTGTAAGGAAAAAAAAATTTTGTAAAGATTTATTTATTATGTATACAGCGTTCTGCCTGCATGTGTCCCTGCAGGCCAGAAGAGGGCGCCAGATCTCATTACAGGTGGTTGTGAGCCACCATGTGGGTGCTGGGAATTGAACTCAGGACCTCTGGAAGAGCAGTCGGTGCTCTAACCACTGAGCCCCCGGAAAATTTTTTAAAAATAAATTTAATTCATAAGACAAACCTCTTATAACCTGAGTGTCAGCATGACTATCCCTTAGTTACACCATCAGACTTGACAAAGGCTGTGAGTTACTATCTACAGGGACCACAATGGGATGTAAGTTAAGCACGCAGCAATAGATCCTGACTTTGAGTGGCAGAAGGATTCTAAGAGACTCGTGCTGTGAGAGTCTGTATGTGTTTCACAGGTTGTATGTTTCTTCACTAGTTTTATTGCAAGTTAAAAGGATGTTTTGTTTCACAGACGGAAAACCATGCTAGAAGTACTTGAAAATACAGACATATAAAACAGTACAGGTTGCAAGGGCACTTTTAATGTTATTATTGATCAGTATGCCCCACCCTAATTTGCTTAATGGATCAAAGTTAAACTAGTTGGTACAAATTCAGTTACTGAACATAATTTTTATTGAAGTGTACATTATCACATGTTTAATACTAGTTAATAATCCCTATTTTGTTAACAAAGATAATGTCATTGTTACCACATATCCGATGGTCCTTAACAGTTTTATTGAGGGATCTGCTTTATTACTAAAATATTTACACTGAGAATCCAGTGAAGGTAGCATCCTTCTTCTCAGTTTAAAAAGAAATCACAGAATTTTTACTCGTATGAGTTGGTAACAATCCTGACTATTTCACAGGAGATGGTTGCATTCAATCATTCCCCTTAACAGCAGTCTGCAACATTATTCCACTGCTTTTGAAAAACTAGTTGTGTTAACATCTCTGATGGGAGCTAAAGAGATGAGAGATCTGTGCAGCACATGCTGGTACTGTGCATCTCCCTCCTCAGCCCTTGTTCTGATACTCGGAAATACAGCAGATCAGCTGAACGATCTCCTAGGCCATCTTGTCCTTGCTTTACAACACAGCTTATAAGGTAAACAGGTTACCAGCAGAGTCAATTCCCCAGCCCAAGAAAAAGTTTAAACCCTAGAGTTAAAACGTCTGAAAATGAGCATTCCAATGCCATATATATAAAACACAGTGCACAGGTATCTGGAATTTAAACAGCCTCTTGGTTCTAATGTTCGGTCTTCTGCCCCAGCCATTCCATCAATACTGAGAAGGATAGTTCAAAACTGTTTTTAAACCAGTAAAAAATACTTAGGATTCCATCTACTATCCAGGACTACGTGGTCAGCTATACATACTACAGCTAGAATAAAAAGCCATTTCCTCTTCTGATGTTGCTCCACGGTTCTTTGGAGTGACTTCTGTTGTCTTCCTTTCTGAAGCAGGGGAGGGGCAGATGTGGCCTAATGACCTCACCCGGTGAGATGCTTGTTAGAAGCAACATTGCTAGCGGAGATGTGACCAGGCATCTGAGGGACCCTTAGCCTGCTTCAACAAGAACTGAAGAAGAGTCCACAGGTCTAAGAAAAACTCTGCATTCAACCAGGTCACTATATATTTTCTGCTGAAATTAGTGTTGTAGATAATCAGCTTAAATAAAACAGTTAAGGATGCCAAAGGGGAGTGTGCATTCATGATTGCGTCTTTGGGATTCAGTTGTCATTAAGACAACTAGGACATTTGGTGTGTGCTGAAGAACATCCTGAACACAACGTCTACTTTAAAATCGCACTGCCATTAGAATCTTAGCAACTGCCACGGCAGTGACTCTCGTTAAGCTTTCTAATCTGAAGATCAGAAGAAAGATTTCAGCATTCTCTTTAAAAAAAAAAAAAAAACCGATGAATTTCTGAAAATACAAAGGATCATTTGCTTTTTAGAAAGGTCCGCTGTGCCACACGATACTCCAGAGATGAACTGCAGGCTGCTCAAGTCTTACCATCCATGGTGTCTTTATTCGCCGCTGACACCCACTTGTTATTTTCCACCTGGAGGAAAGAGGTGAGACAATTAGCTAGTGCTGTGCTCTGAAAACAGACTTCCAAGTGACTGGTGCACACACTGTCGTTTTCCATTAAGAAAAAAGTTGAATACAGAAAAACCAGCTCACCTTCTTCAGTAGCTTATAGCACAGTGACAGGAGCTGGACCACAAGAGCCATCATGGACCTTATCTTTGTAATACACTTGTCAACCTATGGTGACAAAGCATGTGTGTCATCCTAAAAGCAGTACTTCAAAAACATCATCTACTTGGTTTTACAGTGGTGAAGTTTCTCCATCATGGAAATCTAAGAAATCATCAAAGGTATAGATCAGGATACCTGAGGTGACTTGAGGCTCCAGAACATGGGGAACACTGACTGCCTGGTCTCATGCCTGTTTCATGGAACCCCAGGAAGGAGGGTGGAACAGCAACTGTTCTCCTTCAGGCTATGCATGAGCTTCTAAAACACTCCACACTACAGTGCATCCCCTACTTGACAATTCTTTACATTCCACCCAAGCTCCTCAGATATATTTCAGGAGCCTCAACTCCAAGGCACTTATTCCATAGAGAGGTAAGGACAAGAGAAGCATGCGGAGGTTGCTGCTCCATGCTAGGGACTAGGCTGCAGCCTCCAGTCTAATTTTAGTGACCTGCTGCTCTCTGGGATCAATTAGAGAGCAGCTGCTTTCAGACAAGCATGAAACACTTGCTGTGCACGTTAGCACGAAGGGCTGATAAAGAGACGTAAAATATTCCCAAGTGTTCCCCAAATAACCCACCCTCTGTTTTACCTTTAGGAACACTTTGTTCTGCAAAGATGTCTTAGTTATTGTCTGAAGCTGGTGGCATAGAGGAATTAGCTTGTTTATTTCCAGGAGAAGCATAAGTTTGTCATCATCTTTCAGCTGAAAAGTAATTTAGGAAGTTATTGCAACCCCAACAAAACTCCATCTTGTATACTTTTTTTTTTTTTTTTTCCTTTTAGACAGCATCTCACATGGCGCCCTGGCTGACCTGGTACTCATGATGTAGACCAGGCTGGCCCTAAACACATAAAGACCACCCCTGTCTTGGTCTCCTGAGTGTTACACCACACCTAGCCTGTATCTCTTTTCTTTCCTTAGTGCTTGATTTTTAAATATAAAAATAAGAACTCAAATCTCATAGGATGTCACTAACAAAATCATGAAACAGTGTTTGTTTGTTAATAATGTACAATTTCCACAAATCATGAATATTTGTTATTCTTTGTCTTTTGTGGTGCTGCAGCCAGAACCCAGGACATTGTGCATACTAGAGAAGGTCTTCCACTGGGTTAGATCCATCCCCACAGGAATATTTGTAACTGTGGTGATATAGTGTCCCCCAATATATTGTGCATCCTAATAAACTTATCTGGGGTCAGAAGACAGAACAGCCACTAGATAGACATAGAGACCAGAAAATGGTAGCACACATGCCTTTAATCCTATCACTTGGGAAGCAGAGATCCATCTGGATCTGAGTTCAAAGCCACACTGGAAACAGCCAGGCATGGTGACTCACACCTTTAATCCCAGGAAGTAATAGCAGAAAGCAGAAAGGTATAAAAGGCGTGAAAACCAGGAACTAGAGCTGGTTAAGCTTTTAGGCTTTTGAGCAGCAGTTCAGCTGAGATACATTTGAATGAGGACACTTCCAGTTTGAGGAAACAGGATCAGCTGAGAAGTTGGCCAGGTGTCTCTCTGATCTTCCAGCATACACCCCAATACCTGGCGCTGGGTTTGTTTTTATTAATAAGACCTTTCAAGATTCATGCTACATATAACCACACAAAAATGTACACAATGTAACAAAAACAGGATAACAAGTGAATGTTCTCTGAATTTGCACCTCGCCTATCTCATGTGTTAGTAATATGCTTCCAGTGTGGGTATGTGAAGACAGACAGACATGATTACCTGTTTCGAAAATGACTGTACATTTGAAGTAAGCTTTAATCCCTCTGCAGCAAAAACCTGATAGAGAAGGAAAAGTGTTATTCAAGATCAATGTCTTCTGGATGGTTGGTAAACAAATTCTCAATTATTTCACATAGTTGAAAAATAACCCAGACATTAAGAATCAGCCCCAGAGCTCTTAACATTTTTCATTGTACCACAGGAAGAGCTGGAATCAGAAATTGTCCCAGACCTAAGACAAAATCCAAAGAGAGGCACCTCTGTACCTAGAGACATCCATTATTCTGCAGAGCCACACAGACCTGGGACCCACAGCCACACAAATTTTCTGTTCCTTTCTGAAGGGATCCCCGGCTCAGTTCTTAAGATCTCCAATTACAGAGGGGAATCATTTTTCTTCAGGGTGTAGCCACTTGCCCATGATTCAGTAAATAACCTCACACCTGGACACATGCAAGCAACCCCAATTAAACAGTGGGGTATTAAAAAAAAGACATGAAAGTAGGAAGGGCATGACCTGAGAAGAAGAAAAATGGAGTTCCAGGGGGAGGGGGAGAGGGATAAGAGAAAGGAATGCAGGGGGAAGAATAAGGTCAAGATCATTATATACATGTATAAAAATGTCAAAAAATAAGTAAGACATTTTTTTGAATCCTCAAGAGTCACGAGTCATCCCAGAGAATGAGGACAAGTTAGAATTCTGCTACTTCTACCCAACCATGACCAAATTTACTTCCAGACACATTCCACACTGGCTGAGAGGACCAATCCAGACTGTTACATTTTGTTGTAATTTTCAGATTTTTTCTATTCACCTTGCATTTTACATTGAAGAGAACAGAACTATGGAGGGGAGTGAAGATCTGGGCCAGACAAGTTCGAGGAACAGTCAGGACACATTAAAATGGAGAAGACATATTTCCCTTTCAAACTCCACCTTGGGCTGCAGCCATGGCTCAGGTGGCAAAGCGCTTGCTACTCTCTCAGAGGACCCAAATTCAGCTCCAGCGCCAAACCACCACCACTTGTCATTTCAGCTCCAGGGAATCTGTCCCCCTCTTCTGGCTTCTGGGGACACCTGCACAGTGGCATTCACACACATTCATGCACACACGCACACACACAAATAATAACAACCATAATAAATCTTTTTAAGATGCTATCACAGCAGTAAGGGATGAAGACAGGTGTACCTGGGAACAGTAATAAGGCAAATATCAGAATGATTTAGGAAGAAAAATGGTCCTGGTAGTAAGCTAGATAAAGAGTATGGAAGAAGAAAGGGTGGATTTTGACCTTCTAGTCCCCAGCTTACTACCTTGCCATTGCTGGCTAACAGATTTCAAGGTGCAGTAGCCCTCTGCATTTGTCCCTAGCCCTGAAAGAGGAAGCAGCAGGCTTTCTCTTAGGTCGGGTGGCGCTGAATGATTCACTTCCCCACATCCCTCCTCATTCCACATTCTCACAGTTCTCACAGCTTCTCTGCTGTGTCTGTCTGATTGAATGTCACGCTTGTAAAAGCACATTAAAGCCAAGAACTCCCCAAACTGTCCAACCTGACACTAGCCTTTGCATCCAACAAGATGTTTGATTTCCACTTTAAAACCTGCTCTTCTCCTTGGTGTTCCCCACCTCAGTGTCACTACCATTTACTGCGCTGGGTGGGTCACAACCCTTCCAGACGTTATATCATACCACTGCTTCCCAGCCGTGAGGGCTCACCAGCACCACACTTGCAAACAAAAGAATATTAAGGTTCTGCAGAGATGCCATGCCAGCCACGTCACTGTGGCTCCGCACTTCGTCTGCATGGCCTCCTGACTCTTTCAGGTCCATCTCGCATCCTGGCCATTGCACGAGTCCTGCCTCGGAAATACTCTTGCCCCACATCCCCCTCCAACTCTCTCCCTTCAGTAACGCGCCTACTCAAAGGCGCCTCAGAGAAGTCTTTCCAACCACCCCCCCCTTCCTCTTTTTATCCTGCATGATCTTATCACTCTGAGTACTTGTGAAAATAAAACGTACCTCTAGGAAGTGAATTAAGTCCTGTGATGTTTTCAGTGGTCCCTCTCCTCTAAAACAGAAGGAGTTATTAAGAAGATGAATATTACCTGGACATTGGTTTATGTAACATTTATGTCTTAGAGCATTCTGTATATTATCAGAACTCAGATTTTTAAAGAATAACTTGAACACACTGATAATATTGTGGCTTTATTCTTAAAACAACTTTATTACTTCCTAAGTTAAAATTATGTGTTAATTTCACAATGCAAAGAAAACTGAAACTGGCCAGTTAATAGAGCTCTTTGTCTTTCCATTTTGCTTCATGAGTTAATATATAAGATCTGATAATACATCTCAACCAAAACGCATTTCTTATGCAATCAAAAGAGCAGACCCAAGGTCAGGAAGTCCTCAATTCTAATTTCAGCCCTGGCAGGAACTCAGCAGCAGCTTCAATGAAGCATATAGAAAATTCCAGTTCTAAATGTAGAAAGTAATCATAATACAATTTGTGTGGACAGTTTTATTCAGGAGTTTAAAAGCTACCAAGAATTAAGAACTCTGAAAAAATGAGAGGTAAATTCCAACAGAATGCATAAGAGGGGGGTGGTCTAGGCACAAATCAGAGGATGTACACTCCAGTAGCTACAATTGCACTTTTGTATACGGAGACATTCCTAAGTGAACAAGGTATGATACATTCATGTACTATAGGAATTCTGTTTTCCTGAACCTTAGTATTTCTGTCTTCAAACCATATATCCCAGCCCACAGAGCTTCAGCTAGCCTCTCTCCCTCCATGGAGTTGTCTTTTCTCACCTTTTCAAAGATTTATTTATTCAGGGTTCATGTCTATAATCCCAGTACTCAGGAGCCTCAAACAGAAGATTACTGCAAGTTCCAGGCCAGCCTGGGCTGTAGTGTGAGACCCTGTCTCAGAACTACCTGAATAAGCAACTATGGAAACAAATCAAAATGTCACTGCATTACCTAGTAAACAAATACAGAGAGTAGGCCATCCTGGACATGTTCCGGCCGTGTTGAACAATCTCATTCTCCTGATCCTCCCACTTCTCAAGTTCACAGTCAGTATCGGAGGTGAGCAAAGCAAGCTTCAGGCCCAGCTTCGCTATCTTGGCCTGCTCCTACAAACACATTCGATCACAGGTCTGTCCTTGGAAGGGAGATTTCACAACTCTGTCATTATTGATGTAAGACTGTTATACAACCAAGGAGCTTACCTCTGAATCAGGTTTGTCAGGCTTTAAGGATTTCAGGTTTGCGTTATTCTTCTGTGACAATAAAAAGATAAGAAAATCTTAGCATTTAATTGTGAGGAAAGATGGCAGTAATAGAAAACATATGAACTTGTGACGGATCCTAACTTTACCAGACCCAGCAGGTAGTTAAATTGCAGTTAACTATACTTGTAAATATTCTACTAGGTGGTTTCTGCTCAGAGCAAGTCATCAGTTTGGAATTCAAGGCCAGGGGCACAAAGGTAAGGGTCAGGTCCAGTAGTCTGCTTTCTGTGTTTCAAGGTGCCCTCCTCTTTGCACGAGGTCTTTAGGGGCCTCGAGACAACACCTAACATATTCTCAGAATCCACTGATAATGTCCCCCAAAGCTCCCTGGCTTCTCTGCTATAATAAGAATACTGTTACATTTGAATGATTCTGGTGAACTGTCTATTAAAATTAATCACTAAAGGCTTGGTAAGCACTTTCCTACTGGTTGGGACTCTATAACCTAATGCCTTCCACTCTCTGAATTCCAACACCCTAGTTTCAAAGCCACCACAGTTGCTAAGCCTGAAGCCCAGGATGTGGACATTACACTTTGATTTAGGCTGTAATGTGAACCAGTGCTCAGTGGTCTCCTATTTCAGAAAGAGCACGTTTGTTTTCATATCACTATTGAGAACTCAGTGCATTTCCTCTAGAAGCGGAGAAGCCTATCATAGTTAAGTCACCAGGCTAGTTCAGAGATGCATACCAGTTAACATCAAGAAGAAGAGAGAACCACAATATGCCCTACCACTAACTATAACAATTTTCCTTTGGACTATATATTCAAAAGTTCCTTGGAGATGACGACAGCCCACAGCGAGAATTTCTCCTGCTCTCAGACATGTTAGGAGCTCCCACACTTAGAGCAAGAGTTCCAGGACAGGATAGGACAGGAGAGACAAATGGCCAATAGCTGGAGAAAGTCATTGGTCCAGTGAAAACACATATCCAAATTACACACACACACACACACTTGTATTTACATATATATGCAAGATGTGAATTACAGTCAAATAAACATTCATGTGCCCATCTAGCTTTAAAAAAAGATCAAAACTTTTAATTTTTTAAAACTTTATGTGTATAGCTGTTCTGCTTGCATGCATGTCTGTGCACCATGTGCACGCCAGGTGCCATTGGAGGCCAGGAGAAGGCACAGATCCCATGGAGCTGGAGTTATAGTTGTAGTATATAACACTAGCCACTGTGCTTAACCACTAAGCCATCTCCCCAGCGCTCATCACCAAACTTTTCAAGTACATATACAGGTACCCCTCAATTTAATAATGGGATACATACTGGCATAGAGAAACTGTGCTGCTCTACACACACAAGCACAAGCCTGTGCTCATGAGAACTAAACTGACTCCTCCTGGGTGTCACTTGGTCTTTAGTTTCTTCTTTGGCCTAATAGACCACAAAGCAATATGTGAAGAAAACTCAGCACCCTCTCGATGCTTTTAGGTTTTATTTAGACTTTACTCCTTATCTTTTACATATAAACTAGCTGTGTTACATGATTTTCATTTTTACAAATTTAATTGCAAAAGTATTTAATGAACGTTAAGGGGAATTGCAGAAAAGGTATACAAACCATCTTTAAAATGTGGCCATGGGACTAGTGTCATAGCTCAGTGGGCAGAAGCCCTTGCTTGTTGCCTGGCCTGACAACCTAAGTCTGTCCCCAGGACCCACATATCAGGAGGAGAGAACCAACTCCTTCACACTGTCTCTGGCCTGCACATACCTACCACGACACATGCTCACACTACTCCCACCCCTGCCCAGAAAAATAAATATTGGTATAAAGAATGAACAAATAAAAATGTGATCAAGCCTGCCACCTAGTGGACAGTATTGGGAAATGCAGTTTGTTATATAAAGCTGAAGATTTCCAAGTATAAATAACACAAGACTATATTTGCTCTCTTAAAAAGGAGCTAAAATTTTCTAAAAATATAGTTAGCTGTGCTATATTCAACTAAGGAAATGGTTCATATTTTAAAATGATGTTACTAAAGATTGGGGGGACCCCACTAAGTTCAATAAAATGGTCCTTCCATTCAGCCCATTAGGGTCTGAGATGTCTTTTCTGCCTTTCCCACAGTACTGGGGATGAAGGCCGGGCCTGTGCATGGGAGGCAAGTGCTTTCTCAGTGAGCTACACAGCATGAGCTCTCTTTTCTTGTTTTGTTGTTGCTGCTTTTGTCCTTTGTTGGTTTGTTTTGACTTGTTTTGGGAATCTGTCTTATGCCCCAGGCTGGCATCAGATTCATGATCCTCAGGCTTCCAAGAGCTAGAGCTTCAGGTGCGCATTTCCTGCCCAGCTGTATGATGTCTTTCTTTATCCTGAACTGTTTTACAGAAGCCCCAGCTTACAGCACTTAAAAGACAATCAACATATCTTCCTTTGATTAAATACAGCAGGATATTAACTACTGTCATCTATTGGAGTCAAGGTGATTAAAATAGGAAAATTAGATAAAACTTTTACTTCCAAACTGTGTTGATGATAAACTAAGACACAGAAAACTGTTTCCCAAAAACTCACAAAGTGATTTTGCAGTTTTATGTTTTTCTTCTACCTCTATTCAGTTTATAAAAGTATTTCAGTACACACCCATAGTGTGTGTGTGTGTGTATCTGTGTACACATGTATGTGTGTGTGCAAGTGCCCACAGTGTCCAGAAAAGGGTGTCTGATACTGTTAGGCTTCAGTTACAGGGGGTTGTGAGCCACCCTGCATGGGTAATGGGAACGAAACCTAAGCCCTCTGAAAGAACAGCATGCGCTCTTAACCACTAGGCCGTCTCAGCAGCCCTTGTCCTGAAGATGTGGGGATTTGGTTTGTCATCTATCCATTCTCAGTCATTCCCACTGCTATTACCATCCCCAGACATCACCTATCTTGTTACTGTCCATACTCATCACCACTGTTACTATTAATAATAATTAATAAATTCTCTCTCCTCTCTTCATTTTCTTTTTATATAAGATTAAATATGTACTATCTAATATAGCAGCTGTTAGCCACAGTAAGGCCAGTCTGAATTACGATGTGTTATATATATATAATACACCCCAGATTTTGAAGATTTAAGATGACAAAGAGGCTAAAAAGTTTTCCACAGTTCCATGTGAGTAGTAAAATGATAATGTTTGGGACATACTGAGAATAAAATATGATATGAAATCCACTTCACAAATTTCTTTTTCTTTACATAGCTACCTAAATTTTTAATTAGGTATGTGTCTCAAAGACCATCCTGTCTTTTTCACTGATGTAATGATTCACCCAATTTATTTTGTGATTATCAACTTTGTGCCAGACAGTTCTAGGCAACAGAACTACACAGCAAACAGGATGTCTCAACTCCTCCCTCGCCCATGTGGCTCATCATTAGCACTTTTTCCACCCAGTGCCCCATGGGACACCTGGCCAACAGGGACTGATCAAGGAGCATTTGATGACCAATCCATTTGGCTGTGGTGGCCTGCTCTACATATGAGATACCGGAGTCCCCCTTTCTTTGTGACTGGGGACATGGTTTTAACTTCATGCTGGGTGGAGTCTTAAGTCTTTCACTTTCTCGTCTGCCACCACGGTTTCTTCTCTCTCAGGAGTTACTTCTGCAGTCTGGTTTTACTTGTTTGTGGCTCCCCCAATTCTGAAGTTTGGCTATCAGGGTATTTGACTGCTTTAAAAGACTAGTCCTCATGATAACTGATATTTTTCCAAAGTCTCTGTTTTCTAAATATCCTGCATCATATTCACAATTATAAATGCCATAATGTTATTTACAAATGAATCATTGAGTTCACCAAAATGTTACATAGATAACATGATGTTAAAAGGCTATCAGCCTAAAGATAGAAATGTTAATTCCTAAAAGGGATCTTAGGACCACTGTACAGCTAATTTATTACTCTTAATTTTCTTTCTCATGGCATGTTTTTGCCTATGTAAAAAGCATAAAAACATTTTTTTTTTTTTGAGACAAAGTCTCAACTGTGTAGCCCAGGAATTCAGTATTTTGACCAGGCTGTCCTCTAACTCACAGACACCTGCCTGCCTCTGCCTCCCAAATCCTAGGAATAAAGGCATACGCTACCAAGTCTAGCAATGAATGTCTTTATATACAGAAAATGATTCAACATTATTTTGCAAACTAAACCAAAGATATGAAAAGAAAGCCACTTTCCACTTTCCACATTCCACTATTCTCTCAACTACCAAAGCCGAACACAAATGTTAAGAGTACAGGCCACATGTAGGCTGCTGGCCAAAACAGTAACTGAATAGTGGACACTGACTCTCCTAACTTTCCCCACTGCTGAAGGAGGGGAGTAGCAATAAGCAAAGAAAGCACAATTTAAATTCTGAAAACAACCTTTGAAGTGTGCAGGGGTCCTGTACTTACCATGGGCTTTGGAAGCGAAAGATGGTCGTACTTCTCTCCTACAAATAACATACATCATTTAAGAACTTTTTCTACTGATACAGTTTTATTATTCACATTTGGCTTTTAAAATAGCAAACAAATATGACACATTGGTTGTGATAATCTACACTGTCGATTATATGTCATTCAGATATGACAGCATGACTTGGCTTGCAAACATGAAGACTGTCACTCCTGTATCTCTAAGGCACCTCCAACGCCAGAGCTCATCCCAAGCAAAGGAAAAGGAAAATGTGTCATTGGGATTGACTTCCATTTCCTGATAGCCTCACTCAGAGTAATCCTTCCCTCAGCCTGGTGCTCCCAAAACTAGAATCCTCTCATCAGGACCAGTATCTGTGCTTTTTCCCTTCCTCCATATACCAAATCACATCATCTCCAACTGTGCTCACTCAGGGACGGGACAAGCCCGTGAACAAAACAGGAGAATGAAATAAAGCACACAGGTCTGGGGGCTGTGAAATGATACACAGCATGAAGTGGATAACAGGAAAGGAGGACAATATACAATGTCCATTCCACCCCTGCCCTGTCTGCCATTTTTCTGGCTTGCAGATCAGTTTACAATGCATGATTTGTTCTTGGTTTTGTTCGTTCATTTGTTTGTTTGTTTGGGACAGAGTTTCTCTGTGTAGTCCTGGCTGTCTTGGATCTCACTCTGTAGACAGGGTTTTTGAGACAAGGTTTTTCTGGGTAACAGTTTTGGCTATCCTGGAACTTGCTTTGTAGACAAGGCTGTCCTCAAACACACAGAGATCCACTAGCCTCTGCCTCCTGCTGAATTAAAGGCAGGCATCACCATGCCCAGCTTAGCATTAACATTTTGGTGGGGGTGGGGGGGAGCCAGTTCTTTGACTGTCCTGTTTGGGTGTTTTTGGTAATTTGACACAAGTTACTTTTGGTCACAGTATTTATCACATCAATAGAAACCCTAAGACATTTAGAAACCATCTTTATGTAATAGAATATTTTAGTGGTAAGAAAATAAAATAAATGAGTATAAATTTTTTTAAAAGATTTGAAAAGCAATCACTGAGGTTTTTGGTTGTTGGTTTTCCTTTATTATTCTTCCTTGTGGTGCTGGGGATTAAACCCAAAGCCTTTAGAAAACAAACCAACTATACAACTAACCCGAAGCTGGGCCGGTAACGGCTTCTTTTTCCTCTTGTTTTAAACATTTATCTACTTGTGTGAGTGTACATGCAGAGGTCAGAGGACAACCTGTGGGAATCAGTTCCCCCTTCTGCTTGGTGGCAAGTACCTTTACCTGCTAAGTTGTGTCGGCAGCCCAGTCTGGCTCACAGACCTCTTCTTTTCAAGGAAAAACGAGGTATATTCAGCTATATATAATGCTGACTTTAGATTGAAATGATAATTTTTTTGTGTGTGTGTGTGTGTGTGTGTGTGTGTGTGTGTGTGTGTGATTTTTCAAGACAGGGTTTCTCTGTAGCCCTGACTGTCCTAAACTCGCTCTGTAGCCCAGGCTGGCCTTGAACTCACAGAGATCAACCTGTATCTGCCTCCCAAGTGCTGGGACTAAAGGTGTGTACCCCCACTGCCCAGCCAAAATTTCTACACTTCCTAGTTCTTTTGTTGTTGTTGTTGTTTTGGTTTTTTGTTTTGTTTTGAGACAAGGTTTCTCTTTGTAGCCCTGGCTGTTCTGGAACTCAATCTGTAGACCAGGCTGGCCTCTAATTAAAGAGATCTGCCTGCCTCTGACTCCCCAGTGCTGGGTTTAAAAGCCTGTGCCACCACAGACAGGCTAACTTTTTTTTTTTTTTTAAGACAAAGTCTCATGTAGCTCAGCTGACCTCCAACTCACTATGTAGCCAACGATGACCTTGAATTTCTGACTGTCCTGCCTCCATCTCCCGAGCACTGGAATTTACAAGCAGACACCCTCACATCCAGTGTATGCAAAGCTTGGGGATTGAACCCACAGCTTTGTGCATCCTAGGCAAACCGTCTACAAGTAAGCTACATCTCCAGTTCATGAAATGATAACATTTTGGGTAGAATGTGTTAACTAAAACACTAGTATTAAAACAAATTTCACCTTTAAAATTTTTTCTTGTGCTCACCAGGGCCGATTTATTACCAGGCAGCTTGATTCCTGTTTCCTTTGGCTGAGGCTGATCTACAGGATGAATTGTTATTAAGGACCAGTTAGTGGAACTTGAAAAAAAAACATGGTCACTTGGATAAGTTCTTTAGAACATCAGAAATGCAGGGGAATTTTTTAAATTGTTTTCTGGCCTTGGAATTGGGAGGAAGGAGCTGCTTTCCTGCCTTGCCTCCAGCATCTGACATGAAATGGTGAACTGCAAGAAGACTGACCGCAGATGGTCCTTAGGTCTCTCGGAATCTCAACATTTACAGCACTGGAATTCGAGTCTGGCTCTTCTCAGTCTTGAGACACCGGAGAGGGTGCAGTGGTTACTTAGGTACAGCAGGCTTACCAAGTAACCTTGTGTGGTCTAACCTTGTGATCCTCCACTGTTGCCACAGCCCTGAAACGCTGGCCTTTGCTTTCTCAAAGAGCTGACCGAGGCCCCGTCGCCACGGCTCTTGTGTCTCTCACACAACAGAGTTGAAGCAGACTACAGTGTCGAGAGAACTAAGCACACTGGAAGGAGCTTTGGCACAAGTTAGTTTGCTGCCATCACCATCCCCCTTAGAGTATTCGCCACCCGTGTGGTAACACTTATACCACCCCTGTGATCTCTTAGTTCTTATTTATTTGCTAATCCAGTGTAAAGAGAAAAGAAACCACAGCGACTATGCCATCCAAAACCAAGTACAGAATATTCCTGCTTTAATCGCAGCCTGTCCACGGTGGGTAGTGGGAGAGGACAAGAAGGCCACGCGTGTGAACACTTCAGCACCCGTCAGCAATTTAAAGGAATATATATTTACTTTTCATGTGGGAGTGTTTTGGCTTCATGTAGTCTGTGTACCACACCTATGCCAGAAGAGTGTGGGACCCCCTGGGACTGGAGATAGAGATGGTTGTGAGCCACCATGTGGGCGCTGGGAACTGAAGCAGAGTTCAATGCTAGGGAGAAGAGCAGCCAGTGCTCATGACTGCTGAGCCATCTTTCCAGCCCCATATACCAGCAATTTTTTGTTTGTTTGTTTTGTTTTGTTTTTCAAGGCAAGGTATCTCTGTGTAGCCCTGGCTGTCCTGGAACTCACTCTGTACACCAGGTTGGCCTCAAATTCACAGAGATCTGTCTGCCTCTGCCTCCTAAGTGCTGGGATTAAAGGCATGTACCACTAAAGCCCAGCTCAGCAATTATTTTTTATGGGTAAGAATGGTAACACTTATACCATACATTTGCCTGCTCTACCTACTCTAAATTCTTGTTTTAAGGTGGAAACCTGAGATGGAAGGACTTATTCAAGGTCACAAAAATGGTTAAAAAAAAAAAGAAGAAAAAAACCTAAAACATGTTGCAACATGATGCTCAAAGAAAGGGCAACTCAAAGGGCCAGGTTTTTTTGGGGGGGGCGGGGGGTACTCAGTAAGAACCTAGCTCTCAGATTCTCACCCACTGTGGGACACTGGCACACTAACTTCTCTAAACTTCCACTTCACCGTTAGTAAATTCCAGAAACAGTATGTGTCTCATGGGTCACTAAGAAAATTAAATGTGATGAATGCACAGAGAATTCTCACTAGACAGCAGATGCTGCTGTTTGCATGGCTGTATTAGTACAGTTGTGGACCTCTCGATGACCATGTCTATCATTTTATGGACACAAAGGTTTCTGTGTTCCTGGGGTCACTCTGCTTTAGGCTCCTTTTACCATTCTAATTTCCATTGGAAATTTGGCCCAGCATAAGAGGGGAAAAGGTTATTCTAAATTTTAGGCAAATAAAAGAGAAAAGACAGACCACAGTGTTGGTCAAACACCATGGCCTAGAAACTGGGATCCCAGACACAGAGAAAGGCAGCACAGGTCCTCAGTTGAGGGATCAGCACAAAGAGAGAAAACTAGGTTCACTCTACATTCCGGGGATGGTTTGCTTGCTCCCAAGGACATGGAAAGAGAACAAGTGATATAGAATTCTCTAACTTTTAAGTCAGTCAACATTTATCCTATGTGCCCATTTTTAACATAAAACATTTAAGTGCTCATCTCCAAAAAAATATTTAATTTGATGTTATGACTTTAAATAACTTTTTATTTTTAAGAAGTCATGCTTTAATGCTAACAGAAGCCATCATAGGGAAAATCTATACATACGGATAGACAGACACATAAACATAAATCATTAGACACGGGATGATGGGCAGTAACCAAAACTCCCAGTTGATATTAACATAAGGAGTATAATGATGCCTTTCCATACACTGCAGTGCCGCTTTACATGGTGTACAAATACCACTGAACTTACCCACCAGGGGCAACGTCCCAAGTTTATGTAGTCATCAAGGAGAGAGATGCCACCCAAGCAGAAGGAAGGCATTTTGAAAGTTAAATAATACATTCATTTCATTATGAATTCAGTAGAATTAAATTAGAGTTTCTGTATTGTACAGAGCTTTTGTACTAAAACCAAAGAAAAAATGTAAAAGAAACAAAAATCTGGCTTGATTTCAGTAGGAAAACTAGAATGCCAATTTAGATATCTACTACACTGTAGTCTAATAAATTGTATTGATTAGATACTAAATAAGAACGAAACAATACTTTCGTCATTTCTATGGGAGACATCTAATTATAAAAATAACCCAGCTGGGCAATATAAGAAGATAATTTTGTATCCAGAACTTAACACTACAAACAAAACACGAGTACAGTTATATTAAATAGTACACAAGTAAGAGCTGAACCATTTCAACAAGTGGACAGTTTCTCACCTCGTCTTCCTTCAAACACGTCACTGATCTCTCTGAGCAGCGCTGCCATGTCACTAATCTGAGACTCCCAAGCCTCACAAAACACGTCCAGGTTTTCCTTGGCGATTTTGCTAGAAGGATGCAGCGTCAGTGTCTCCGCAGCAGAAATGATCTAAAGGGACACCAGAAACATGGGTGCGAGCTCTAAAATCTCAGCCCTCAGAATCAGACTGGACTCGATTAAGCCTTCACTGCTGACTTTTGACATGGCGGATTCTGGTTATCAGTCATTAATATCATTAATGTGTCATCTGCCTAACTTGAGATAGTTATTCTGCATCCAACAGAATCGTGTTCTAAACCTAACACTGAGGCAAACACTGGTTTAGATGAATGGTACAATTAGAAAAATATATATAACATTTTCTAACAATAGGTTTTGAATATACATATACATGTGTGTGTGTCTGTATATTTTTTTTTTCCGAGACAGGGTTTCTCTGTATAGTTTTGGTGCCTGTCCTGGATCTCACTCTGTAGACCAGACTGGCCTCGAACTCACAGAGTTCCACTTGGCTCTGCCTCCCGAGAGCTGGGATTAAAGGCGTGCACCACCACTGCCCGGCTATTTATTAACTTTATGTGCGCATGCACATGGTGGTGTATAATGTGGAGATTATTACCTACAGAGTTGGTTCTGTCTTTCCACTGTGTGGGTCCAGGGGATGTCATGAACCTTGTCAGCAGGTGCCTTTACCTACTGAGTCACCTAGTTGGCCCTGATTTGTTCTTTTACAATCAATGTCCTTAAGAATTATTAAGCTGAAATGTATTTGTGTGGCTTGTTACATACTGATATCTGTTGTGGAATATTATTTTAAGATGTGTTACATTCATTTATGCTGTGGAATAGCATAAATGTTTAATGATGCAAAGATGTGTTGCATTTTTTTTTATGTTGCATTTAACTCTGTAAAGCTGTGTTTCTTTGCCTCCCTAAAACACCTGATTGGTCTAATAAACAGCTGAATGGCCAATAGCTAAGCAGGAGAGAGGGACAAGTGGAGCTGCCAGGCAGGAGAAGAAATCTAGGCTCAAGAGGCAGGGAGGGGCCGGGCGGTGGTGGCGCACGCCTTTAATCCCAGCACTCGGGAGGCAGAGCCAGGCGGATCTCTGTGAGTTCGAGGCCAGCCTGGGCTACCAAGTGAGTTTCAGGAGAGGCGCAAAGCTACACAGAGAAACCCTGTCTCGAAAAACAACAACAACAAAAAAAAAAAAAAAAAAAAAAAGAGGCGGGGAGGAACAAGAAAAGGAGAAGAGGATGCCAGCTGCCAGCCACCCAGCCAGCAACAGAGTGAGAAGGAAAGAATAATATATAGAATAAAGAGAGGTTAAAAAAAAAAAAAACCAGAGACAAAACATAGTTAAAGAGAAACGGGATAATTTAACTTAGAAAAGCTGGCTAGAAATAAGCCAAGCTAAGACCAGGCATTCATAAGTAAGAATAAGTCTCCATGTATTTATTTGAGAGTGGGGTGGCAGGCCCCCAAAGAATAAAAACAAAAAACAAACAAACAAAAAAACCCACAATAGATATCTATCTTTGTCGGCAGGCATATTATAGTGACCTGCATTGCAAACAGCTTCATTTAAAATAGATATAATCTAGCATTTCAGTTAAATGAGGCAATTTCCAGTTTGGCAGAAAACAGATGGGCCAGTGGAAGAGCAGTATGTTCCAGTGCATTACTGACAAAAACCCGGGTATCCTCTTCCTCTCAGAGACATGGCTCACTGAAGTAGACCCTTCTGCTTGCCTCCTCACGGTCTGTTACATAGTCAAATAACACACCAACAGAAAGAATAGCCTGCCATGTCCGTACCTGTTGCCCAGTCACCTGAAATGTCTCTTCTGCATGTATGCAGGTTATTTCAAGGGGTTCCGTGCCAGACACATGCCGCAACACCCGACACATCTGCAAGAGAGCATGTCCACAGTTCACCTTCCACACCCTCCTCACCCTTCTGATAAGAAAATGAAGTTTACAAACCTAAGAATGAATTCGTACGTTATTGAAGGCCAAAGCAGGAACAGACATGGGCAGAGCATACTGTTTCTGCTTCCTATCTGACTGAGGCAAGGTGGTCACCAGACCTTAGAACCACAGGGATCCTAGCAGAGGGCATGCATTTGCTGCATCTGGCTCCAGAGTCCTGCTGCTAAATTGTCAATTATCACAAGCTACCATTCTCTCAGGACTGATCTCATCAGGATCAACTAGATGCACACACCTTTCTCCTTTGAGAGGGCAATGGATTGGGCAGACTGGTTATAAAGAAGCAGAAAGCCTCCTTTAGAGAAAATTAATGAGCATCATGAGGCTTAAAAAGGAAAATTTTAAATTTTGTTTTACTCTTTAAAAGGTTTGTTATAAGTTTCCTAAAGTTAGTTTCTCTACAGCCATAACATTTGGTTAATACATAGAGCAGAATCAAACTTATTAAATAAAGGAATTATATATAGCCACTTTGAGAATGTTCCTTAGGTTTCCAGGTTGCTATATAGACAAGTAAAGGAGAGAGAGAGCCAGGCTCAGTGACAGCATCCATCCCCTTTGAGGATTGTTGAGCAAGGTACATAATAATGTAAAGACTATTTGTATACATTGGCAGACAGATCTCACACATACGTTCATGATTAAGTGGTTTTCTTTTCTTTTCCTTTTTTCTTTTTTTGTAAACTAGCAGATACATGGTAACATTTTCAATGGTAGAAGAATTAGAACATAATTAAGATGAACTGGAATTATCCAGCAGCAGCAGGTGACACTCAACAAGAGTTAGGGCAGGGTAGGAGAGGTTCAGGGAAGGGACAGCGTGTCCTTCCTCTGTCTTCCCTTACCCACTTCCTCCCTTCTCAAACCTGCTTCCTGCCTCAGGAGGCTAACTTGGGTTGTCCATAGTGATTGGCCAATGGGAAGGAAAGAAATGAACTTCCCTTCCATGTTTATTGGGTCATCTTGGGCCAACTATGTGTCTAGCCCAAAATCTATTCCCTGTGAGGGAGTTCTCAGATGGACTTCAGGTTCTGCCTCCGTTAACTTGAGCTGGCTCCGCATCGCTGGCTACACTTCCTGCACTCCTGTTTAAAGCTGCCCACGACTGTCTCGAGATCCTGAGCCCAGCTCTCTTAGTAAACACTTATCACAGCATCCTAACTTCATCTCTTTCTGGCTGAGAATTCACCATATCCCAACAGAAACTGTATTACTCCACTGCATTACCCCAGAGACTCATTTGAGAGAACAGAGAAAAGATTTACAATGTATTTTGGGGTTCTAACATATTTTATTGTTTTATTTTAGAGGTCAAACTATTGTAAAAACAGGATAGATATGTGATATTTTTCGGATTCCAAAGAGAAGAGAGAATGCTCAGATAAGTTAGCCAAAACCTGTATCTGTTAATATTCTCTCCTAATTTTGCTATTGTATTGTGAACTACAACTTGTTTAATAAGCAAATTTGCTACTCACCTCAACGAGCTGTTCTTTCTGCTCAGAGAGTTTACAGGCATATTCAGCCAATGCTTCCAAATTTCCTTCTACTCCAGTAAGTTTTAATGCTTTTAAAACCACATGATCAGCGTGGAATTTTAACAGGTCGCCTGCCAGCTGCAGCGCTGTATGATAAAGCTGAAGAGGAGGGTGGAAGGCAATCAGGGCAGGAAAATGAACAAAAATGTTTATGACCAAGCCCCTGAGGAGAGCTTTAATAACTACAGAAGAGAAACCCAAAGAGTTCCACCTCATGTGTTCAAAGTGAAGCATCCCCTGTGGGCACAGGAGCCCCGGAGCACTGGGAAGCATCTTAGTCCTCACACAGCAGGGGATGTCAGGGCACACAAGCCATTGGTGCCAGCAGCACTGCTGTGTGAAGAAGATGCCCTGGCCACTCAGTGAAGAGGCCTAGGGCCCTTTTTCATTCTAAGCAGCTAGGCCTCTCTCACATAGCTTCTCTCCCATTGAAATGCTTTGGCTATCGACAAAGATGGTGAGAAATGGAACAGTATTAAGTTTACTGTTCAAGGCCTGGAGAGACAGCTCAGTGGTTAAAAGCACTTCTGATCTTCCAGAGGATCTGGTTTCGATTCCAGCAGTCACGGGGAAGCACACAACCATCTGTCAATCCAGTCCCGGGGATCTGACACCCTCTTCTGGCCTTTTCAAGCACCATGCACACACTGGTTCCCACATATACATGAAGGCAAAACACCCAGAGACACAAAATTAATGTTTTTTCAATGTTAAAAAAAAGCTTAGTGTTCAGACTACTAAAGGAAGATCTGACAGTGACCTATGATTAGGAAGCAGTTTTTTAGGGGGGCAAGTAGTACAATTCAATCAAGGCCTGGATTTAATTCCCAGTATTGAATAAAGAAAAGAAGGAGAAACACTGGGGTTAGCAGCCCAGTGACAGAGCACCTCCCTGATGTGTACAAGGCCCTCAGTCCAATTTCTAGCAGTTAAGAATACTATGTAAGTACATTTCTGAAAAAGCATCACTGTGAGAGCTAGCCAATTAGGTACTGGATCAAATCTTACTAAATACCTTCATGACAGGAGCTTGTAGAGACTGGACACCTGACAAGCAGGACCCAGTGGCTTCCCTCAGGAGGAACATTCTGTGTGTGGTTGTTCTCCAAGAACTCTGGGTTCTGGCACAAACGACACATAAAGAGCAACATAGTCCTCGAGTGGTGTTGGACACAGGTGGGCCTCATTTTCAACTCTCATTTGCACTAGGTATCTTCGGACAGCTTAACTCTAAAATCCCGTGTGTGTGTGTGTGTGTGTGTGTGTGTGTGTGTGTGTGTGTGTGTGTGTAAACTGTATGGCATGTGGGTTGGGATTTGTCCAAAAAAGTAAGCTTTAATAGAAACATTATTTTAAGAAAAATCTGACTTTGAATTAAGCCTGTTAGAAAGAAGCACCTCCTTTTTTCATGGAAGTAACTGGATGTCAAGTCAAATGACGGGACTTTGTATAGAATAAACAGTGGAGCTGTCTGCATTTATCAACTATCAGAATAATCACAGCCAGAGAGACAGTCAAATGTCCTTTCCTGTAGAAATGAAATGCCACAGAAGACTTTCAAAGGACCTTGTTTAAGCCGCAGGGCCTTAGAAACTATCTATCCCCATGCACGCCCTTGTGCAACCGTCCACAGTGGCTGAGTGACTTGCCAAGGCCTTCTAGCTCTTAGAAACATCCTGAGGACAACTCACTCACAACAGAAGAGGAAGAAATCAGGACAAATACTCTGTCCCTGCCTGCAATGTCCAAGAGCAGCTTCCCAGGGGTCGGGTCTCTTAATTTGACCTTCCAAGAACTCAGGGGTGATGTGGCAAGGAAGCAGACTGGGGGAAGGCATCCTGTTGCAGAAGGCTCTCAGGCTGCACTCATAGTTCAGTGTTTCAGCGTTTAATTTAATCTTAATATGATGAAATCAAACAGTTGGGGAAATCACATCCTTCCACATTTAACAGGAAGCTTAAAGGAAGTCTCAATAGAGCTGTCTCTGGTTAAGATGTGAAAAAGGTCACCTGTATACAGTGCAGAAACAAATGCCCAGAACCCATTTCATTCTCCACAGACTTGGACCAGCTTCAAAAGCATGAAAGAATAAACAAAGAAGAGATAAGGATGGAGAGGTTTCTGTGAGGAGAGTCTGAAGGGAACAATTTGACATGGAGTTGCAATATTGCGCTATAGGAACATAGAACTTCTGAAAACCCTCAAAAAGCATTCATAAGAGAGAATGTCAGTGTACTATAGCTACAGTATGAAGCCATAGTGTGATGGCATCTGTCACTGGGCCATAGCTCAGTGGTAGAGCGCTTCCCTAACATGAATAATGCTCAATTTCCAGATCTGCATAAACAAACAACAAAAACTAGTTTTAAATTACTACACATAAGAGCACAGGTCACACACAGAAAACCTTCCACCCTCCGCTTCCTATCTACTCTACTGTGCCACAGCCTGGCAAAAACCAGGACCCACAGCGACAGCACAGGAATGCAAAAGGAAGTGATCGTGTGGTCCATGAAGGTTCCAGCAGGGGTTGGGGTGCTGTGGAATTGTGGGGAAGTCCTACAGCCGCATGAAAAATGCTGACACTAGAAGAGATGTTCTGATTCTTTCCCTGAAAACAAACCAGAGCTTGACCCTCTCACAAAGGGCCAGACGGCAAATATTTAGGCTTTGCAGACACAGAGGCAGCTGTGACACAGAGAGAGAACAGCTGTGTGTCACAGAGAGAGAACAGTAAATACAATACACACAAACGTGCAAAGTGCATTCACAGACAGTGGGCACAAAACCAGATGGCTGAGTGGCAGCATGATTAAACCTGGCTAAAAAGTGACCATAGGACTTGAAATTCCACGTGCCCAAGTCAGTCATGGATGAACACATTTTCCTTCTGGAACAAGGAAATCTCCTCAACTCAAGGACGTTGGAAGAAAACCAACTTTAACTTCAATGAGGCATAATTACACACAGAATGCTCCCAGTTTAAAGGCACAGTTTGATGAGTTTTGCAGATACTTCAGCTATAGAACAACTCCCACCACACTCAATATTTCAAGTATCTCCATGGCTCCAAAATGATCACCTTTGCCCTTTTGCAGTAAATATCTCAAAATCTCTGATCCCAAGAAGCCACCGGCCTGACTCTTCTTCACCAAGGACTTTTCTAAATGGAAGCACACGCTTGCGCGGTAGTCTTCTGTGCCCTCCTCTTGCACTCCGTGTGCAGTGCGCTTTGGGAGTCATCTTATTGCTGCAAAGTATTTGGTAGAGCAATCATCAATTCACCTATCAGTAACCCTTGTTGCTGTCCATCCAGGTGGTTCCCAGCTATTGTGAAAAGGGCTGCTATGCCTATTCATGTGTGAGCTTTGAGAATGAATGACAGTGTTAATAAGTGTGGCTTCACACTAATGACCGGAGGGGAAAGTCAAGCACTGTGTGGCCACAGGAACGCACTAGTGCACATGGGCTTCCCATGTGTCCTACAGCATGAGGCTAGGTGTCAGACGCCTCACCTCTTTCCTCAGCTCGTTGAGCCCATGGCTGACCTTCAGGACAGTGAGCTCCAGCTCCTCGGCAGCACTCTTGGTCTTCCTGCTTTGCTGAAATGTTGAGAAGTAGGCACATAAGTCACTTTACCTTCTTAATCTCTTACTCCAATTCAGTTTTCACTATAAATTATAGTACATTTTAATACCACTCAACTATATATAATAAAAGTATTCTTGTTTGTTTTTGTGGTGCTATGGATCAAACTCTGGAGACCAAGTGCTCTACCACTGAGGTATACTCCCAGACCTGGTTGAAGCATTTCTTTAATTTACCTGTTTAAGGTTACAGCAGAAAATAGAATTTGAGTTATTCCATTGCCTTTTCCACACCAACTATAAACAGGTGAATTTTCAGAGCCAAAGTTTCTTAATAAATTTGTGTCTAAAACTAATGTCTTTTATTTCCCCTCCACCCCTGCTCCTGCTTCATTGCTATGAGACTTGGGACAAACTTCCTGTGTTGTCACACTTCTGTAGTTTTTACCCATCCTGCTCAAACAGCCTCCCGTGTTGAAAGCGTGCACTCAGGCCTCTTAAGTGGCTGCTGGCTGCCTTAGTCCAGGAGTCTGTATGAGAGTGACAGACTCTTTTTTTCCCTACAGCTAGATCTGCTCTGACCTTCATTGCATCAGACCCCAATAAGCATTCTAAAATATTGTCTGTACATCAGCTGTCCTCAGCGCACTGCACATCTGAATGGCACCGGCAGCAGACTCATGTTTCAAGGACCTCTAATACGTTTATTCCTCTGCTCTCCACACTAAAGAAGCATTAGGAGGAGGAATTTTCCAGAAGTGAATATGGCAGAAGAATGAGGGAAACTGTAGATGGTGAGAACAGCACAGAATCCAGCCTGGCCACGAGGAGAATGGGCAACCTGAACATGGCAGGTGCTGTGAGCCACACGGATGGAGAAAAGGGATAAGGCATGCTTGTCCTGTACCAACCAAACTCATAGCCCTGTTGGTTGTGTTACCTTCCACACCTCTCTAAACATTAAGTGAAAAGCTATTGCCCAAGATTTACTCTAACGAACAGTGCTTACAGCTTGCATCCACACGGAAACGAACTGTTGCAGTTCTGTTCTCGCCTGAGTAGACAGCTCCAAGATGCGTTCCCTGTGCTCATGGCTGGTGTAGGCAGAATCGGTGAAGTCCTCCACACGCTCCAAGATGACCTCCAATGCAGCAGAAAGGTTCTCCTTGGACTCAAAGTAAAGATTCTCCCGAAGAGCTTCAATATTCAACTGAGGGCAAAAGGCATGGAAAATCCATCTAAGTATCTCCAAAATGGGCAACAAGTTCTAACAGTGTCCTGGAGATGCATTAGCAAGTCCTTTTCCAGGCTTAGGAGTATTGCAGCCTCCATCCAATCGTCACTATATTCTCCAGTTACCTGGAAGGCCACCTTGTTCAATAGTCATCAATGGCCACGCAAGGCCTTTGTTCAACAGCTGTTAATACAATGACATTGCCACACCATCAGAGAATACCAAGGCAGAAAGGCACCGGTGTGTAGAATTGGTAGAAATAACAAACCAGCCTCCAGGTGAGGCATCTGCAGCTGGAAAAATGCTTAGGCAAAGTCCCAAGGAAGTTTGCACTCAAGTGCGGTGTGCTGAACCGCAGGAGGTAGAGCACAGTGCTGAGGGTGACGGGGCTAGAGAGGGCATCAGGCTTGCCTTTGCTCACCCAGAACCTCTCCCAACCTCCTAACAGATTCTGCATTTTGTTTTATGTCCCTAATAGCACCCACTGGCACAAACATCCTCTACCAGGAGGACCGTATCACCTTTCTGAACTGATAATGCCACATGACCTCTCGGTAGCTCCTCCCCGGCTACAGAATCAAGGGCTAATGTCTGGCATAAAGGTCTCCATAGTCTTCTCTGCACGCACTACCCTGGCAGCCTATCCTTCTTCTGGAGACTCTAAGGGTTCTCTCGCTCCACCTACTCTGTGCGTAGAGTTCTTCCAGTGTGTAATGGACTCATGGGAAACCCTTCTCTCTTGACTTACGCCACCGCAACTTTAGCCTCTAGCCCATGAACTCTTTTAGGACACAACCTGGACTCAGAGACAAAAGGCAGTAATGATCACGACTGTGGTCACAATTAGTGAATGCACTGACAGGCACACTGATGTAGACCTTGCACTTTAAATTCCCGCCACAGTTATTTCAAAATAATCCTTACACAGGCCCCATTTTAGCACGACCTGTGAAATACCAGCTGGGGAAAGTCACGAGGCCAGACGGGAAGTGAGTGCTGCCCTTTCTCTTGGCCTGAGTTGTGTCCAATCATCACTCCATCCTGGGGAATTTTCTTTTTAGTTAAGTAGTAATGTGAATAGAGGTTGTTGAATGACTTAGCAAGTAAGATTCATGCTACCAAGACTGATGACCTGAGTCCAGTCTTCAGGACTTGCAAGTTGGAAGGAGAGAATGGATGCCTACAAGTTATCATCAGACCTCACACACACACACACACACACACACACACACACAGAATAAATAAATGTAATAAAAAATGTTAAAATAACATGGATAATAAGTAAGGAACAGACAATGATGACCTAAGAATTTAAATAACTGAAACCTGAAAGTTAATCATGTGCAACTCACATTATTTATGTTATTGATCTTTATTTTTCATTTTAGGCTCTGTGTGCATGCGTGTGTGCGTGTGTGTGTGTGTGTGTGTGTGTGTGTGTGTGTGTGTGTGTGTGTGTATGTCTGTGTATGTGTTTAAAAAGCAACTTAATAGAGTTATATTGGTCCTTTGAAAGCTATTAAGTTCTGTTTACATAAGATATGGCCACTTACAATACCAAATAAAAAGTATTAAATTTCTCTCTACAGATTATTTTTTCCATCAAAAAGAGACCAGTGTCAAGTCAGGCATAGTGTTCCATGCCTGTAATCCCAGCACTCATAAGGCTGAGGCGGGAGGATGGCATTCTGAGATCACCCTGAGCTACACGGCTGGGTCCCATTCTGGGAGCACCTTCTTACGCAACGGTCAGCAGAGAGAACAGTTCTCCCGCTGCTTTTTCACTCCCTGTTTTGACCTGGATCTTCACACAAGGTCACGGTGCAGTGAGACAGAAAGAACACCATGCCTGACTCAGCTCTGCTTACTCTAGGTGTGCCACCCTTAGCATATCAGGTAACTTTTCAGGGCCTCCTTCCATTTTCTCATCTGGTAAATGATGCTGCATTCGACAATGCTATAGGAACCTCTTGAGGAGAAGTCGGACCACCTGGCGTCAAATCTCAGCTCTGGTACTGAGGCAGGAAGTCCATCTCATCTCTGTCTCTAACAGCACCAGGAAGAGAATGGCAACAGTACTTGTGAGGATCCCAGGTGTCCACACATTTAAAGCACTCAGACTGAGCTGGCACAGAGTGAGGACTCCGAATGATAGTAGGATTTCTTTTAGAGCTGTAACTGTTGCTGTTGCTGCTGTTACAGTCTCCACATGTGGATCCTATCACACAAGGAAGAGCAAGGATCCCAACAGAGATTGTATGCTGCTTGTGATCAGCTGCAGAAGGCTCTACATGAAGGAGTCTGTCTAAACCAGCAGTTCAACAGGGCTGCTGCTATAAACAAAGACCTGTACTGTCTGTCAACATAACCCTGAGCCCATACTGCTCACTGTCAGGTTTCCACAGAAAATGGTACTATATTAAAGAAATATATTCGATTTTTTTTAAATGTGTATGAGTGATTTGCCTGTATGTACATATGTACACCAAGTGCATGCCTGATGCCGGGGAGGCCAGATTAGAGCATCAGATCCCCTGGAATGGAGTTACAGGCAGCTGTGAGCTGCCATGTACGTGCTAACAAATGAATCGGTCCTCTGCAAGAGCAGTCCATGCTCTCAACCATTGAGCCAGCTCTCCAGCCCCTGAGATATATTGCTTTCTGTGAAGAACCACTCTATTTTTTTTTAATTATGTGTATGGTGTTTGTGTGTGGGGAGGGATGCACATGAGTATGGGCACCCAGGGAGGTTAAAAGAGTGTGTCCCTGGAGCTAGTCTCATGCAGTTATGAGGCACCCAGTATGGGTTCTGGGACCCTAACTTTAGTGCTCTTCAAAAACAGGAAGCACTCTCAACCACTGAGCCATCTCTCGACCCCAGAAGAAGCACTCCAAATCATTACACGAAACCTGATCACTATACACAATGATGCTCTCGGAAATGACAAAGGGAACAGGGCAAAAGCTACTCTTCATCCTTACCTTCAACTCTTTAATCCCAGCAAAAATGCTGATAGATGAGCTGTCAGTCCCTCCGTTCTGTTTGCACTCAGTCACGATCTCGATGACCTTATCCAGGGCCACTCTCATCCGGTCAAACACTCCTTCTTTGTTTTTATGGGCTGAGTCACAGCTGGGATGCCTGAGACATGTCTTCCCAACAGTTGAGGGGTTTATTTTAATAATAACTCGTATCATAACACATTAAAATCTTACAGAGAACATGCCATGCTAATAAAAATGGTTCTTTACCCAAATCTCCTGGCTCCCCGGCTCCCCCAGCTGCCTCTCCTCACTAGTGTGGAAGCAGGATGAGTAAAAAGCGACAGCAAGGTTAAGTGAATGACCAGAGAGAAAAGCTGCATCTTCAAACATCAACAGTACATTCGTCTTGATTTCAATGATGGAAAAACCCGACATCGTTATCATGATTAAAAGTGTTTGTTAAGAGCTGCCTCACACATGCAAGAACAAGAAAGGAGTGGGGAAAACTGAGCAAGATGACACATGACTGTGGCTGCATCATTCCCTTTTAAAACGTGATGCAGGGCTGGAGAGATGGCTCAGTGGTTAAGAGCACCGACTGCTCTTCCAGAGGTCCTGAGTTCAATTTCCAGCAACCACATGGTGGCTCATAACCACTTGTAATGAGATCTGGTGCCCTCTTCTGGCCTGCAGGGACACATGCAGGCAGAATACTGTGTACATAATAAATAAATAAATAAATAAATCTTTTAAAAAAAAAAAAAAAGTGATGCAAACATCTACTCCAGGTTCTAGATTGAAAAGAACATCTGCCTCTGCTTTTGTGCTTTTGCTGATCCCAGAGTATCAGTAAATACTCCAGAGGAAAAGGCAGTTCTCTATAAACTCCTATGGAGACATTTACCAGCTCATCCCTGAACTGTACCAACTGGGGCTTGGGAACACACACTGCTGTGCCATCATTTTATAAAAGTGGAAATAGAAAGGAGAGGCTGTGAATTCATGGAAGAAACCAACGGAGGCTTCATTCCACATACTCCTCAAATTGTGCTTAACCAATCCTGACTTGCTCAGCTTTTACTAGATCGTGTGGCCTGGCAAATTCTGCAGTGTGTTACGGTGCCTGGCAGCCTCTGTTCACAATACTTGATCCCCTCTCTTCTGCTTAACTGCTGAGTCAAAGCGGGCTCAGATTCAGGAGCTGGGGAAGGAAGGTTAGCATTCACGATACTAGAAACAGATCTGACTTGGTTCTAAGGTACTCTTTTCATCCCTTCAAAAATGTCAAGTAGGGAGGGCTGGGGGGAGGCTGAGTGGTGGAGTACATGCTTAGCAGGCACAAGGCACTGAGTGCAGTCCTCTGCATAAGAAAAGAATAAATGAAATAAAATGTGAGGCTCGCACAGTTGATGCATTTGCTCAGGTTGTTCTCATCATTGACTCAGATGAGTAACACAGGCGCTTACCTTTGAAGCTGTGAGGAGCATCATTGTGCCCTTTTCAAGCACAGCCCTTGCCACTGCCATTCTGGCCTTTTTCTTTTCATCTTTCAAATCCTAAAGATTAAATCAAATCACTGGGTAGTCTAAGATCATATCAGCAGCCATTCACTCAACAACAATGTCCAAAAGGCCAGTCACACTGCTCAGAAAAGAGAGGAGGCAGAGCGGCTGGTTTCCCTCTCTGAGGTCACGTACTGCAGTCCACATGTCTGTGTTACCATCTGCTTCCTCCCACACCCTCTGAAACAGAAGTTCCATAGGGCAGGGACTTTGGTTTCCTTACTGTTAGGTCCCCAATACCTAGAGTACTCCAATTCCCAGTAAGTTGGGAGAATCTGCTGAGTCTGAAGAGGCTAGCTGATGGCTATTTCCAGCACATTCTGACCAGATTAAGAAAGGGCGGGCTCCAACTCTGGAAACAAACACTAAAAAAGTGAGCTAGGCACAGCACTCACCAAACCCCAGTGGGGAAAATACCTACTACTCTCTACCTGATGAGTTAAATTTAATAGGTATTCCTGCCAGGTGAGGTGGTGCACGCCTTAAATGCCAGCACTGGGGAAGCAGAGGCAGGAGGATCTCTATGAATTTGAAGATAGCCTGGTCTATACAGTGAGTTCCAAGCCAGCTAGGGCTATCCTTCAGCCAAATGCACAAGTTTAAAAGAGTTGTTCACAGTCTTATTGGACCTTGGAGAAATATTCTCTACACCAATATTCTACAGACCAATTTTATTTTCTTTTTTGATTTCCGAAGCAGGGTCTTGCCATGTAGCACAGGCTATCCTGGAAGGTACCAGGCAGGCCTAGGTTGGCCTCAAAGTAATGGTGATCCTGTTGCCTTAGAATCCCAAGTGCTGGGATTACAGGAGCAAGCCACCATCCTGGCTCCATACCAAATTCCTAACTACAAATCAGAATAACAGTGGAGGTCTTCCCCATTTTGTGGCCAACAGGAAACACAGCCAAAAGAGCTACACAGGCTTTGGAATCGGAGTCACACTACACTGGCCCAGGTGATCGAAAAATGTTAGATGATGAACTGTCATAAAAATACTTAGGCTAATAATCTTTATAGGGCAAGAGTATGGGGAGGGCAGAGGGAAAGGTTGATGAGAGAAGAAGAGAAAGAAAAGAAACCAAAGTATGAAAGACCAATGGTGGCAGAACAGAAAAAGAGACAAGGTGTTACTCAGGTGGCTTTTCAAAATTTGTATTTCATTTATTTGTTGATTTTGTGTGCAAGTGCACATATATGGGTATGTCTGTGTGTCTGTGTATCTGTGTGTGCTCACATGCATGCATGGGCATGCACATGTCATAGCATTCCTGTGGAGGTCAGAGGACAGCTTACAGGAGTTGAAATCTCCTTCCACCATGTGGATCCTGAGGACTGCACTCAGGCCAGTGCCTTTACCCACCCAGCCAGCTTGCCAGCCACCTAAACATTCAGTTTTTTCAGAGACAAATACTGCTCCCCAGCCTGCCATTTTCCAGGCCAATGTCCATCTCGCAACTGTAGCTGCAACCAGGAAAGCTCATGTCCAAAACTGAAGGAGTGGCCTGAGCAAGGATGTCCAGATCTCAGTACCACAGGTCAGGCCTGCTGACAAGATGGTTCATAAGCAAACATCCCAACCAGAGAGAGTCTATTCTGACATGCTGTGGTCTTCTACCTCCTCAAACTTAGAAACATTGGTCTGAATTGGGGAACAGATCTCAAAGAACAGACACTGAGCTGCAGTTGAACAATGACAGGCTTTAGGAATAGATGTAACCAAATCCCATCCACTAGCAGAGTGACCTTAGAGAAATCCATCTCAGGTTTGGTTCCCTTATGTATAAAACACTAATAACAATACTCAATTTGTAGGATTGCTTTGAATATTAAATGCAATCATGTATATTAAATACCTAACATAATATAGCCAGTGCAAATAGAACAAGAGCATGTGTTCTTAATATTAATCTAGTTATAGTAAGTAAACAAATATATAGAAAATATTCTAAAATTACACGTACTAGTTCAACTTGTCTGCCTGAGCCCTGGTAGAAGAGCCAAATAGAACACCTCATGAAAGGGAAAGTTGGCCTTCCACACAGCCAGACTGTTCCTAATGCAGGCATTATTAATTGCCACATATGTACAAAAAGACACATTAATCTACTACATACCCTGGATTCATTATAAAGGTTTTTAAGACCAATATCATAGATTTAGTGAGTAAAGAAGTCAACTCAAGTGATTAAAAAGATCATATTTCTACCCAAAGTAAAAGGTACACATTTATCTGAAGAATTTTCAGTGTGGTAAGGACATACATTTTGTCTGTCTCCCGTCAGATGCGCAAACTCCACCATTTCATTTCCAAACTGACTGAATATCTGAACAAACTCCTGGAAGCTGTTTACTTTCTCCAGTCTCTCCATGGTTGCAAGAACCTGCAAGACAGAAATACATTACTGTTGGGCAATGAACAAGACGCAGACTGAGACTTCCAGAGCTGAGCAGAGTGGAGGGAAAGAAGAAAAGCTCTAAATTCTATGGGAAAGCTGAGAAAAACGAAGAGAGAGAGAGAGAGAGACAGACAGACAGACAGACAGAGACAGAGACAGAGACAGAGACAGAGACAGAGAGAGAGAGAGAGAGAGAGAGAGAGAAGGGCCTCTAAGACATAAAAGCTGGTTCAACAGTTAGAACCACTTAGGGAATTTGACTTGGTTTTAGGAGAAGGAGATGTGAGTTGCTTATAAATTCAAAGGAAGAAAAAAAATCTTGACTAAATAGTGCGTAGGGAGTTAAAAGCATCTGCAGGAAAAAGATGAGTGAAAAGCAAAGGGCAGCCTCAGCACAGAACCAGCTGAACCTCTGGGCTTAGGAACTGCGCGGGGCAAGGGATTCTGAAAAGGAAAAGCACACTGTCTGGGTGAGCCTGCATTTCTAGGGGGTCTTCCTAGGCAGGTCCCTGACCTTCCCTGCTGGATTAACCCTTAAAGAGGAGACAAGGGCGTGTCTCTACCTAGAGGTAGATTCTGTACTTTGCAGGGTCTCTCAATGTGACTTAGGCTGGCCTTAGACTCACTATGTAGTCCCATAGTCTGGTCCTGAACTCATGGTGATCCTCCTGCCTCAGCCTCTCAAGAGCTGAGATTATAGGCATGAGAGCCACTCCCAGCTCAATCTTATCTTTTAATAATAGTAACTCTTTTTTTTTTTTTTTTTTTTTTTTTTTTTTTTTTTTTTTTTTTGGTTTTTCGAGACAGGGTTTCTCTGTGTAGCTTTGCGCCTTTCCTGGGACTCACTTGGTAGCCCAGGCTGGCCTCGAACTCACAGAGATCCGCCTGGCTCTGCCTCCCGAGTGCTGGGATTAAAGGCGTGCGCCACCACCGCCCGGCAATAATAGTAACTCTTAAGGAGCTCCGTGCAGGCTGTGTTAATCACCTCTGATGGCAACACCTGCAGTGACTTATGGGCCTTTGAATAGATGCCACCTTTGGAAGACTCCACCAACTCTCACATGAACACACGGGGGCCCAGGGCCCCCAGCACAGGGCCATGGAGGCTCCTTCAAAGCATGTCTGAGCATAGCAATAACAGCAGTTCTGCCCATTCTTTGCTTCTTCACACTTGGCTTCACGAATGAGATCTTCCTTTGTGTATTTGGGGGTTTTGTTTGTTTTGTTTTTTGACACACAGTCCCTAGCCTAGGCTGACCTCAAACTCTCCATGGAACTGAGGATGATCTTGAACTTTTTTCATTTGAAGTATTTATTGGTATGTGTATGTATACATGCATGTGTGTGAATAAATGTGTGTGCAGATACACATGTGAACACAGATGTGAAGGACAGAGCTGGACATTGGGTGTGTTCACCAATCCCTCTCTTTATTTACTGAGGCAGGGTCCTAAACCTGGAGCTCACCTATTTGGCTAGTCTGAAGAGATGAGGCAAGCTAAATAAACCTCCTGTCTTTATAAAGAACCTAGCCGAAGGCATTTTGTTACAGCAGCAGACAGTTGACAATGATAGCATAAGAACTAAGAAGGCAGTGAGGAGAAAAAAAAAAACACACAGAAACTATACAGGTCATTGAACTAGGACTAGAGGAACCCCAGTTTTGAAAGAAAATGGAGGGGAAGTAATCCACAGAGCTAGGAGTAGGATGGGGGTTTAGGAATTCTCGGTTAAAAAACAGTTTTGATCAGTCGGGCGCTGCTGTGCAGACTAGATCAACTGCCAAGAAACTTCGGGCAGCGAAGAGGGAACAGAACATGCACAGTACAACCAGCTGAAAATGCTGCTTCCTTGACATAAGAAAAACAGTAGACAAATGTGAAACATATTTTCTGATAGTTTTTTTCTAAAATAACTACTGAATTTTGGCCAGAGCAAGATAGGTTAGAAAAACACAGATATCCTGTGCTTGCTCATTTTCACCGAGGCTATGGAGAGCATTTGGCCTGCTAACCTGCCCAGGCAGCTCAGGAAACACAAGCAGTTCCACAGATAAGGAAGCCGGCACACGGAGCACAGCCTCCACCTCGAAAAGACAGGAAACTCTTCCTTTGTCTGTCACTCTCTCCGATTTCTTTTCCTCTTTAAACTTACACTTTTTGGTTTGCTCAACGTTCCTGAGGGGTGGAGGGGGTCAACAGGGCCACCCTCAGATCCTACTGAGAGGATGCATCTCCTCCCTAGAACATTCCTGGGGGGTTGAGGGAGTCAACAGGGCCACCCTCAGATCCTACTGAGAGGATGCATTTCCTCCCTAGAACATTCCTGGGGGGGTGAGGGGATCAACAGGACCACCCTCAGATCCTACTGAGAGGATGATGCATCTCCTCTCTAGAACATTCCTGGGGGGATGAGGGGTCAATGGGACCACCCTCAGATCCTACTGAAAGGATGATGCATCTCCTCCCTAGAACATTCCTGGGGGGATGAGGGGGTCAACAGGACCACCCTCAGATCCTACAGAGAGGATGATGCATCTCCTCCCTAGAACATTCCTGGGGGGATGAGGGGTCAATGGGACCACCCTCAGATCCAACTGAGAGGATGCACTTCCTCCCTAGAACATTCCTGGGGGGGTGAGCGGGTCAACGGGGCCACCTTCAGATCCTACTGAGAGGATGCACCTCTTCCCTGGCTGATTTGGTTGCTGTCCACCTCACCTAGGGGAGCATCAACAGAAAGCAATGTTGCTTAGTTCTCAGTGATCAGGGCCACTGTCTGAGGGAGGGCAAGAGTTTATCCATTCTTTACGTTTGCAATTCTTTAGAAATATTTAAGGGTTCTACATATGGGAGCTTTGTAGTTGTGGATAATTATAGTTTCAGATAATTTTTTTTTTTTTTAGACAGGGTCTCACGTAGCCCAGGCTGGTCTCAAACTTCAATGTAGCTGAGGCTGGCCTTGACCTCCTGATCATCCTGCGTCCATTTCCCAAGTGCTGTGATTACAGGTGTGTACCACGACATTCCATTTTATATGTGCTGGGAATTGAAACCAGGGCTTAGTGCATGCTAGGCAAGCATTCTACCTACTGGGCTATAGCCAGAGCCCAGTGATTTACATTTGTCTCTAGCTTATAAATGGTTACTCTCTGACTGGATAAAAGTACTGAAGGACTCAGAATATTTGTTTACTAGGTCTCTACCGCATACAACATCAGCTTAGCTTTTCTTCCCAAATTGCATACATTGGCAGTAAGCCTCAACAAGACTTTTGCTGTGTTGTTGCTGTTAAATCAGAAACATTATTTGCATTTCAAAGTTTAGGCCTGGGGCTGGAGAGATGGCTCAGTGGTTAGGAGCACTGACTGTTTTTCCAGAGGATTCAGGTTCGATTCCCAGCACCCACATGGCAGCTCACAGCCATCTGTAACTCCAGTTTCAGGAGATCTGAATCCCTCTTCTGGACTCTGTGAACACTAGGCATACCTATGATACACAGACTTACATGCAGGCAAACAATCATATACATAAAAAACTAATTTTTTTTTAAAAATAGAAATAAGTAAGCTCGGTAAATTGGAGATGGTAGGTGTAGGAACGCACTATTTTAAACTCTGGGCAATGGGTGCTATAAATAATGAACATGCATAGCCAACGATCTGGATGTCACCTCCACAGGATTCTGAGCCACCCTGAGACACAAGCACAGACACGAGTGAATACCTTGTTTCTGGACGTCACTATCTGCTTGATGACGACACGGTCCGCCAGCAGCAACACCTTTGTCACCGAGGACAGCAGCAGCCTGGCGGCCTGCACAACTCCTGATTTGTCTGTCAGAATTGTGCTCTGGCCGTCCGAGTCCAGATGATTCCATCTGGCCACATCCGTGAGTGCTGCAATTGTTTCTCCTAACAAGAAAGAGGAATGTTCTGCTGGGAATAAAGCACTCCAACAAAAAGCTAGACTTTTCTCTCACCGTGGCTACAGCAAGCATGGGAACTTCAGGCACAAGAAACAACCCTGCCTTAGATGCTCCTGGGATGCTTTCTAGCAGAAAAACCACACACACACACACACACACACACACACACACACACACACACACACACACCCAAAAAAAAAAAGTACACTCTTCAGAACCATGACAAACTTTAACCTGGTCAGAAAACCACCATTTGTCTTTCCAGTATTTGGCCAACCACACAATCTAAGAGTTGCCTCTGTGCAAGACAAAAGAAAAGTCCCAGGAGTCAAGAACCAGCAACCTAAATCCAGAGCAGTGAGCAGGACACAGGTGCCCAGGCCTAGGTGAGGCCCCCAGAGGGGGGTGAGGAAGGCGGGGCACTGTGGATCACCACCACTGTCTGGATCTGGAGGGACATGGAAGGACAGTAGAGAGACAAGGCTTTGGGGCTAACGTCTTGAAAAAGGGGAGGTGGGGCTGGAAGAATGAATTACAGATACCTAAGGAATCTGCCTGTTGATCTGCCTGGAGACAGGGGAGGGAAAGTAAACCAAGTAAGACCCTTACCCCTGAGAGTTCACACCCTGGCTGACCTTCGGGTTCGTCATTGGCAGCTCATACTGTTTTCCTTCAGTTCAGTTTTGTCTTACGACAGGTTCCTCACCAGTACGTGGCCAAGTTTCATGGCTGGCCTGAAACTTGCTGTGTAGACCAGACTGGCCTCAAACTCACAGCCTCCCTGTGCTAGGACTAAAGGTGTACACCACCATGCCCAGCTTAATTCTTTTAAAGATTCTTGTACTGATTTTTGATGTGCAAGGATATTTTGCTTGTATATGTACGTGTATGCCACATCAGAGGAAGTGTTGGAGGAAGTGTGTCTGTCACTCTAGGTGGTCTCTGAGAGTTAAAAGACCTCCGCCATTATTACTTCACCCCCTCTGGTTCCTGCCTCAGGTCAAGACGCAAGCCCCCGTTCCCTGCTCCTGCCGTCACGCCTTCACTCCACCACCACGGACTAGATCTAGCCCTCCACTCTTCCTTCTCTCAGTTAGGTCTCTGTCGCTGTGAAGGGACGCCATGACCATGGCAACTCTTACAAAGAAAACATTTCATTGAGGTGGTGGCTTACAGCTTCAGAGCTTCAATCCATTATCATCATGACGGGGAGCATGGCAGCATGCAGGCAGACGTGCTGGAGCTGGGAGTGCTACATCTTGCAGGCAACAGGAAGTCAACTGACACACTGGGCAGTATCCTGAGCATAGGAAATTTCAAAGCCCGCCCCACAGTGACACACTTCCTCCAACAAGGCCTTACCCACTTCAACAAAGCCACACCTTCTAATAGTGCCACTCCCTATGAAATTATGAGAGCCGGTTACATTCAATTACCACACCTTGGTCATGGTGTTTTATCACAGCAGTAGAAAAGTAATTAATACAATGTGATTCTCTAAAACTCCTTACTGTTACAGTTAACAAGATTTTAAAAATAATTTTGTTTAAGATAAATTTTGAGGTCCTAAAAATATGTATGTCTAATGACTGAGTTTCTCACAAAAGGTTGTTAATTTTACTATATACATACAATAATGTCTTGGCCGGTAACATAAAAAAATCTCAAGTAAAAAATATTAAAATCTCTATGGCCAAACCACAGGATATAAACCAGTTAATACTTAGAACAGCCGGTAGCTGGGAAAACGTAGAACAGACTGGAAAAAACAGACTTAGAGCAGGGCAGCTGTCAGTGCAGGAGAGAGGACTTCACAGAGGCAGCCACAGGACATAAAGAGGAAAGTGATTTAGGAGACAGGGAGGAAAGAAAATATAAACCTAGGAGCTGACCAATGATAAGAAGGAAAGAAAGAAAGAACTATTTCAAAAGTATAAACCAAATCACTTAAAGATGGTCAAAGACTCAGGAAGGAAATGACAAATTTAGCTTTAGGCAGCAGAAATTCAAAACGATACAGGTACACACAAAACACAGGTCACTAAATATGGACAGCTAACTGATGCTTTACCAATAAATCAAAGTTTATGGTAGCCAGCCTCCAAAGAGCTCTACCTGCTGGTACCCATATCCACCAAGTGTCCTCAGATGGTGGGCAGAAGAGGAGGTACGACGACACTTCGGAAATTGAGCGATCAAATCCTCTCAGGCCAAGTCAGTGAGATGGCTGTGGGCAAGAGCACTTGCCATGCAAGTCTGATGCCCTGACTTTAATCTTTAGAACCATGATAAAGAAAACTGACTCCTAAGAGTTGTCTCTAACCTACACATGCACTGTGGCGTGTGCGTGGCCACAGATACACATACATACACGAATTTTTAAAAACTGAGACCATCATCTTGTTTTCTCTCTACAGGCAGCCTTACTACAAAGAGATCCACATGGTGACCAACTGTCAACCAGGAAGTGAAGCCTGCCAGTGCCATTGGGAGTGTGCAAAACATCTCCAGCGCAGTGAGGCCTGCAGATAACTAAGGCCGGACAGACACCTCCACCCAGCATCCTAAGATGTGCTGACCCAGGATGGCCCAGGAAAGCCCCGTCCCGACTCCGGTCTGAGACTCTGCTGCATGGAGGGTAACTTGCACACAGCAATGGACACTGCTGTGTCACTAAGTTTTTATGGCAAAATCTGCAGAGGACAAATGTGCTCGGAACTAACCCTTATTGTGCCGGAAGGAGCAGAGGAAACGGCTGAGGTCCTGGTCTAGCAGCAATAGCTGAAGAAAAGATGTTTTCTTTGTTCCCCTGGAAAATGTCCATTTTTCCTATCACTCTTGGCCACCAAAGGCACCGCAGAAGAGCCTGCACAGATGGCATTGTTTAACCATTCCTTTTTCTGACTAAACCCTGGGCATTCAACAAACCAGTAAGTGGGTGGTAACCCCCGTCCCCTGCAGAACAGGGTCAAGTGTCTCCTTCCCAGCATAGCTCTTCCAAGTGTAGACTGCAAAGAATTCCCAGAAAAGGCACAAAGTTTACAGTTTCATGGTTGTCACTTCTAATGTATTATAAGCAATGAACTAATATAGTCCCTTAGAGTGAAAACTCTAAGACACTCTAACAAAAATATTTACTGAGCTACCATATAAAACATAAATCTTGACAGGTAGTCAAGTAAAAAGTTAAAACAACACAGGAACTCACCCGAGAGAAAGAATAAAATGCAATAATTATGACATGAAAATTTGATGAACACTTATTTGTACCAAATGCACACACACACACACACACATCATATCATGCCTCTACAAATATGAATAGCCCCTTTGTCCCCTGAGAACACTGAGGCTTGCCCAGTGTCTCTCTGCCTGTTGGAGGAGGTGGGACTGGAATGTAAGTCATTAACCCAGAAGCTCTAGGTTTTGATCACTGCTTCATATTCTTGCCCTCAAGTGTGCATACATTGCCCAGGAGACAATGGCCATTGAGGGCTGACTGAGCCAGCAAGCCTTCAGGAGTGCCATCTTCATCTTCAATCGTCTGGAGGATGGAGAGTCCTTATTATGTAGCTTCAGGAGGCTCACGGTTGGGGGAAGGGGTTTGTCACAGGATCAAGAGGCATGTCTGTCGGCTTAGAGGAGATGGTGTGTGAGGCCCAGGCCACCAGAGGGACTTGCCTGGTCCTGGGCTGGGGCTGCCAGCTCACACTGAGGCCAGGTGACAAAGCTGCTCCTTCCCTGTATCCCTGCCCCTCTTGCTTATCAGGAACAATTGGAGAACAAACGCCCTTCTGCTTTCTCCGCATTGTCCACTGTACTCGGTAACATGCTGTTGAAGTGCCCACGGAATAATGTGGTGCCAGGAAAATAGGACTCTCCTCTTACAAACTGGTTTGTTTCCTCTCAGCAAACAATGAGGATTATATAACCCTCTGTTTCTCACATTTTTGTCTTGCTTTCCAGGAAGCACAAAGATAAGTTGCATGCTTAATTAAATATGTTTTTCCCTCTTATTTTAATAGAGTCATTTACCATCTCTTTTATTATAAACCAATTCAAATTCTTTTTTGTAATGAGAAAAATATAAACTACAAACAGGGTAAGGTCTTCTCCTCTGCTTCTCACATAAAGCTGTTTCCTAAGCCAACAAATGTCTAGAAGCCCGAGAGTCAAGCCCGAGTCCCCCCATTCCTCCAGTGAACACCCTCATTCTATCGATTCAGCAACATCACCAAGTGTGCTTTGCATTCTTCCTGCTCTCTGTAACTCGATCACATTGTGTTAGGCTGTTTCTGCTGTGAACACAGCCTATGAAATCTCCCTACCTGCATTCTTAACCCTCTCTCTCAACCTCGCTTCTGCGTATCGCCCACCTCAGTTGCTAATGGTCAGCGTGGCATGCCACTATTCTAACCAGTGAATGAATCCTGTGTTTCAGGCTTAGGACTGGAGTCAAGAGAGGCCCAACATTCCTAAAAGCCAACTCAGGTCACTAATGTTCTAGGATATCTTAACTTAAAGCAAAACTGAAGTATTTTGTCAAGGATGTAGCTTGGTGATAGCTTGATGTGCTAGAAACAGCCCAGGGTTCAATCCTTAGCACTGCAGAAAATGAATAAATTCTTAAGTTTTTCTGGGTGTAGCAGCACACACCTATAATCCTAGCACTTGGGATCCACAGGCAAGAGGATCACTTCAAGGTAAAAGCCAACCTGGTTTATACAGTGAGTTCCAGAACAACCAGCTACATAGTGAGACTGCCTCAAAATAAATAAATAAAATATCTCCTATAATATCCAGAACAATGAAATTGGTATAAATAACCTTTAAAATAAGTATTCACAGCTGGGCATGGTGATGCACTCCAGCACCAGGGAGACTGGGGCAGAAGGACTCCCACTATGTTTGAGGATAGCCTGGGCTATGTAGTAAGACCTGCCTCAAGAAGAAAACAAGAGCTGGGTGTGTATGGCAGTTTGAATGTAACTGACCCCCATAATTTCATAGGGAGTGCCACTATCAGGAGGTGTGGCTTTGTTGGAGTGGGTATGGCCTTGTTGGAGGAGGAAGTGCGTCACTGTGGAGGCGGGCTTTAAGGTTTCTTATGTGCAGGATACTGCCCAGTGTGTCAGTTGACTTCCTGTTGGCTGCAAGATGTAGGACTCTCAGCTCCAGCACCACATCTGCCTGCATGCTGCCATGCTCCCCACCATGATGATAATGGACTGAATTTCTGAAACTGTAAGCAAGCCACCACAATTAAATATTTCCTTTATAAGAGTAGCCATGGTAGCACATAGCTTTAATCCCAGTGCTTGGGAGGCAGAGGAAGAGACAGGTGGATCTCTATGAGTTCAAAGCCAGCCTGGCCTACACAAAAAGTTCCAGGTCAGCAAGGGTTACATGGTAAAACCTTGTCTCCTAAAACAAAACAAAAACAACAACAACAAATAGACAAATAAAAGGTAGATAAACATTCACATACCTGCTTGCTTAGCTTCAATGCAGGCAATACTAATTTCTTCTTTCAAATCCCAGTTTTCATTGGCTATAGCTTCCCCTACTTTAACAAATCTTCCAACTGCCAAGTTGACAGCTTGTCCCACACGCTGAATTGCTTGCAGAGTTTTATCAGACTTTTTGGTATTATCTTTATGGTTAATAAGTGTGGTAATCTAAAAATTAAAAAAAAATGAAGCAACTTTTAAAACTTTTATCCCAATACTTAAAAAAAATATATCACAAAGGTCAAGAAAGTTAAACCCAGCTTAATTTTAATCAGCCTAACCCAAGAGACTAAATCAATAGCTTTAGATATTGCAACCCAGGGGCTAGCCAGCAAAGCATCTTGCATCATTTCTCAGGACAATGCTTCTATTAATTGTGATTGTGAGTTCACCTGAGGGCGGTTATCTGGAACATACAGTTCCAGATGCTCTCCAGACAGTCCAACAAATCTTAGAGACATAAGAACAGGAGGGGGCAAATCACAGGTTCAGCACTCACAGACGTTTCCTCGGCTCCACCCAGCTGCTCTGAGTAAGGGCATCACTTCCCATTGCATTCCACCCTACTGCTCACAAAGTTAAGTGGGGTACACAAGATGACTTTTTCACTGGAGGTATAGCTCAGCGGCAGCGCACTTGCCCAGCACATGGGAGGTTCAGTCCCCATCACAATAAAATGATCCTTGAGCCACACACGTTTACTGAACTCACTAGCAGCTCTAGAACTCTTTTAACCCAGTTTTGTTTTATCAGCAGCTCTACAGTACACGAATACCAAGAGTTTTATCATTTGGTTTTAAGCACTGAAATACAGTATAAAAGGTGGCATGTACAGATCATTAAGACAAATGAAAATCTTTAAAGTCTCTTAGAAAAACAACACATGTACAACACTCACATTCAAAATACTTATTTAAAAATGTTAGATGAAAAACAGATACCAACTAGTGAATGTATGTTGAATTTCATTTTGAAATAAGTTATATGGAATGATAACAAAGACCCAAACAAAATGCTGGAGAGATGGATGACTCAGTGGTTAAGAGCACTGTCTGCTTTTCCAGAGGACCTTGATTCAATTCCCAGCACCTAAATGACAGCTCACAACTGTCTGTAACTCCAGTTCCCAGAGGACCCAACGCCTTCTAGACTCTATGGGTACCAGATACACAAACAGTGCCGGGCGTTGGTGGCGCACGCCTTTAATCCCAGCACTCGGGAGGCAGAGCCAGGCGGATCTCTGTGAGTTCGAGGCCAGCCTGGGCTACCAAGTGAGTTCCAGGAAAGGCGCAAAGCTACACAGAGAAACCCTGTCTCGAAAAACCAAAAAAACAAAAAACAAACAAACAGTGCTCAAACGTGCATGTAAGAAAATATCCACACACATAAAACAAAACGTAAATTTTAAAAAGACTCGAAACAGAATATAAGCGCCAAGCATTTTCTAAGTTAAGGTATTAAGAGCTTAGAATGAACAGATATGTCTAAATTTGAAGTGGGTACCACACTTAGAGATAAGCTAAGTGATGCAGAGAAATGTACTGAATGCCACTAAATCTTTTTTATTTTTGTGTATGTGTTCATGTGTTCACATGTGCACACATGTGTGAGCATGTGTGTTGAGGCCAGGGTCGATTTGGGGTGTCTTCCTCAATGGCTCTCCACCTTGTTTTTTAAGACAGGGTCTTTCAGTGAACCCAGAGTATTCTTCCATTAGCCTGGCTGGCCAGTGAGCTCGAAGGATGCTACTGTCTCCATCCTCTTCCACAGCACTGAGGTTCTGGAAGTGTGCCACTACACCCAGTTCTTAACCGGGTGTTGGGATCCAAACCCAGGCCCTATACTGGTGGTGCAGGCTCTACAGCCACCGAGGTAGCTCTCCGGAGCCCTGCCACTAAGTATTTTCATCTACAACCTTGTTCTCCAACACATGTTTAACATCTATTAGATGCCAAGTTCTCAGGATGTGTGGTGGTCTGAATGAGAACAACCCCACAGGCTCATATATTTGCATGCTTAGTCCCAGTTGATGAACTGTTTGGGATGATTAGAAGGTGTGGCCTTATTGGGGGAGGTAGGTCCCTGGGGGGTGGGTTTTGAGATTTCAAAAGTCTGTTAGAGGCCCAGTGTCTCTCTCTTTCTGCTTGCTGCCTGTGGATCGGGATGTAAAGCTCTCAGCTACTGCTTCAGAGCCAGGCCAGTCTGCTTCCTGCCATGATGATAATGGACTAATGTTCTGCACTGTAAGCAAGCCCCAATTAAACATTTTCCATTATAAGAGTTACCTTGGTCATGGTCTCTTCACAGCAATAAACAGTCACTAAGACAGGACGCATGAGTGATCGAGACATACAGTCCTACCTCCAATGTTTGCAGTATAGTAGAATAACAGTTCAATCACACAAAATATATTTCCTAGGTGAAGTAAAATTCTAAGCAATGAAAAAACATCAATGAATGTTTTTCAAAGAAAAGGTCTGTGCTACATTCAAATGTTGAAACACAGTAACCCTATAAATAGAAAAATAACTATAATGATGTGCTATACAAAATGTATGATATGATATTGTACCCATGAAGCCACCTGAGATTGACTGCTCTTTCTTCTCTGAGGAAGTGGTACTTTAGCCTGAGATCAAACTGATAGTGGCAGGCTGGCAGCACCAGGGGATGATGTATTTCAAAGAACAGAAACTAAGGGGTGAGAGGCTTTGGGGACGAGCCTGTCCTGTCAAGGAATGAAGTAAGGCCAGAAGTGGTTAAAACAGTGAGCAAAGGGGCAAGCATAAACCAGTGCCCCGTGATGGATGGCCAGGAGCTGGCCATGTAAGGCTGGGAACTGGAGCAAAGAATTCATGTTTTCAGCTGGGCGTGGTGGCGCATGTCTGCAATTCCAGAGAAGTTAAGGCAGAAGGATTGTGAGATGCAGGCCATTTTGAGCTACAGAATGAGATCCTGCTTCAAAAAAGTTTTGTTCTGTGCATTACTGGGAGCCACAGAAAGGTTTTTGCATGGGAATGGAGTATAATCTCTGTGGTGATTTTGAAACATTCATAAACTCCTTCAGACTTTTCCTTCAAGGAAGAAGGAACTCTGTTTCCCTCCCAAGTATAAACTCACTTCTGATAAACAGGTAACAATGAATATCATGGTGCATTTCTGGGCAGGTTTCAGGATATTGTGATGTCCTCTTTGTCTCTGTCTCTCTTTCCTTGTCTCTGTCTATCTCTGTCTGTGTGTGTTCGTGTGTGAATCTGTCTCTCCCTCCCTGTCTCTTTCTTCTTTTTCTTTTCCTTCTTCCACTTCTTCTTTTTCTTCCTCCTCCTCCTCCTTCCTCTCTCTCTCTCTCTCTCTCTCTCTCTCTCTCTCTCTCTCTCTCTCTCTCTCTCTCTCATCAATCACAGGGACAGGAAGTTCACTGCTCCATCACAGCTGCCCCACATGGAGCCACTGAGGAGCCCTTGAGGTAGGGAATCGCTACCACAGCCAACAGCTGTAGCAGAACAGAGGCTTTTTGCCAGTCAGATGAGTGAACACAGTGGCACTCTCCCAGGCCAGTTTAAGCCTCTGAACTGCCACAGGCCCAGCTAAATATCTTTATTTCAGTTTTGTGATGGCACTTGGTCCAGAACCATCAGGTAAATTACTACAGAATTCTTAACTTACAGAAACTAAGACAAATGTTTGTTGTTTTGAGGCGCTAAGTTTGGTGTGATTTGCTAGGTATGTAAGATGTCCCTCATGTGCTTGAACACTTCATCCCTATCTGGTAGCACTTTAGGAGAAGGAGCTTTGCTCAGGAAAGTATGTCACTGGGAGTAGGCACTGAAGTTTGTCTATTTGAAGCAGGTTCTCACTATGTAGCCCTGGCTGGCCTGGAACTTGCAGAGCTCTGCCTAGGATCAAAGGCATGCACCACCACACCAGGCTGGCATTGCGATGTTATGCTCTGGTCCCACTTCCTGTTCTCTTTACTTGGGGACTGTTAGGACCCTGCCCTCACTCCTGCACATGAGCAGTTCAGGGTCTTGAGTCTTACATCATTAGTGTGCGCTGGCAACTACGTAAGCGCAGACCCCACTCTCCCTCTCTGCTCTGCTCCCGCCGTCTTTCTTTCTCTCCAGGCCTGGCTCCTCCCTCCCATCCCCTCCTTCTTTCTAATAAAGCTCTTTGTAACTATGGTAGTCGTGGCTGTGGCCCACAACCAGCGCCGCCACCGGTGCCGTTTATCCTAACCATCAGGGACTGCCACTACAATGTGACATCACTCCACCGCTGCCACTCCTTCCTTGACGTGTGAGCTTCCTGGCACTGTAAGCTAAAATAAACTGTTTCTCCCGGGTTGCTTTAATCAGGATGTTTAAGTACAGCAATAGAAAACTAGTGAAGGCATTGTTGGTTGGTTGGTTGGTTGGTTGGTTGGTTTTTTGAGACAGGGTTTCTCTGGGTAGCCCTGGCTGTCCTGGAACTCACTCTGTAGACCAGGCTGGCCTCAAACTCAGAGATCTGCCTGCCTCTGCCTCCTGAATGCTGGGGTTAAAGGCATGGGCACCACTACCCAGTTTGAAGGCATTTTTCTTCATCAATAGATAGGTAATACAGATTTTGGTACCCAGATCTGAAGAGATGCTGTGACAAAACCCAAGCTTTGAGAGGAACTTTGTAATTAGGCTGTGTGAATGACTTTGGAGGATGAGTAAAAAGCCCCAGGAATGCTTAGGACACTGTACAGAAGCAGGTGACTTTGGAGAAGCTCTCTTAGTCAGTTTGGACTACCAAAACAAATACTTTAAGCTGGTCCTATACAAACTCACTGCTTCCAGTCCTACAAAGCCCAGGTTCAGGTCTCCAGAAGACTCAGTGTCTGGTGAGGGGCAGGTCCTCATGGATAGTGCTCCTGGCTCTTCACTTGATAGACCATGCAAACAAGTTCCTCAGGCTCCACCCTAAAGCATTAGTTTCATTCACGACTTGATGACTCCCAAAGGATTAAGTTCCAATATAAGGATTTTAAGAGGAAACCAACATTCAGACTACAACAAAAGTGTAGGCAAAAGCTTATTAAGCTGGGCGGTGGTGGCACACGCCTTTAATCCCAGCACTTGAGGGGCAGAGTCAGGCAGATCTCTGTGAGTTCAAGGCCAGCCTGGCTTACAGAATGAGATCCA